TTCAATCAGTTTGATTGCTCTGCCTTTCCACCGATTCATTTATGTATTTTTTGGCCATAGAATTAGAAAGAATTTTAGATCTATTCATGATGCACAGCATAAGCAATACCTTATGACATTTAAAAACAGCATAATATCCATACAAAGAGAATAAAAATCCTTAGACAGAACAAACGAAAAGTAATGAAATCCGCACGTAATTGCATTGCCCGTAGACACAAAAGACAGCGATGACAATGTGAGCCAAAGACTCTTCCTCTGAGGAGGAAAGACCCCTCTCTGTGAACCCACCATAAATTGTAAATAATTTATAACATTTTTGCAAAGTTTCACTGTGGCTTTTGGCTTTTGTTTTTACCCGTTTTCTGTTTAGATTTCATTCATTAATAGGACTTTTATGACTTTCAGACTTACTTGCCCCCTTTTGGCCCCCATTTGTTGCATTTTTATGTTAATCGCTGTTGTGCTCAGTTCTACTGCCAGTTTTCCTATGACTGTGCCCCATCGTTGTTTTTGCAAATATTCCTCATTTGAGGTGAAATTGCATTTTGCTGCTGCTACTTTTGGGCTAATTATTGTTTGGCCCCGTCGCGCCTGACATGCATATTTGCTGTTATGTGTCTTTTAATTGCTGTTCTTTTTGCCGGGAAAAATGCAAAACTCGATGAGAAATGTTTCCTTATAATGCCACAAACACAAACACACAGCTGGAGAAAAGTGCAGTGGAAAGTGGAGGAAAATGGGAAAACGACAGACTTGGTTATTCCTTTGCCAAAATGTGATTTTTATCAAGCGCAACGTGTGGAGTGTGTGTTAGTTTTGGATTTTGCTTACATTATAAATCATTTGCACATCTGTCATTTATGGAGGAGAGTTAGTGAAGGAGCTTTGGATTTTTATAATAGATAATATAGGGAATATAGCTGAGAATTATGAATTATGAATTATGAATTAGTTACTTGGTATTTCCGCACTATGTTCCCCACAGATTCCACAATAATCACATATTTGTATTTATTATCTTGAAAAACTTTTGCTTTGATTGTTTGTTTTAACCATGACGTCTGTTCTGGCCTTCTTTGGTTATAGCCTTCTCATGAGGCTATCTTTGTTTATTATTGGGCTCTCTGCTTTCGGTTGGCTTTTCTTCTCGGAGACGTCACCATGCCTTATCTTAACTAAAGCCCATATATAGCGATATTTATTTCCATGTTTCTTTTGCCATATATTTCGTGGCGATAAAGAATTGCGTGGCCAAAGAGTTCTCTTTCCATTTCCATTTCTATTTCTATTTGGTAGTTGTTTTGCGGCTATTTCCGAGACACTTTAATGGCTTTTAATTGTGGCAAGAGTGTGTGACTGAACAAAAGTAATTTCACACTCGCTGACTTTGGCGGCCTCTACGAAAGTGCAAAACAATTTTTCTTTTGTATGTTTTATAGACTAGAGGAAGAGAGGGAGATGGCTCCAAACCCCCTTTCAATGCTGCCACTTTCCGGTGAGATATTTATTAGCCACAATTTGGCAGGCAGCACAAATTGGCAGCTCTGTCTCGTTCAGTCAGTCCACCTGGACAGGTGGTGGTGGCGGCACGAAATCATAAAACGAAAATTTATTATTTATACCAACTCTTTTGTGCTATTTGCCGTGTCAATTCGTGGGACATGATGGTCGAGGCCATCTCTACAATTTGCTGCCGGGCCAGGCCAGGCCAGGGGGTCTTCCCTATCCCCAGAGTTCTCCTCCTGCTCCTTTAAATCTTCAGACAAATTATGAGAAAATCTTGTGTACCAAAGCGCATTTGTCACAATTAAGCGGTGAATGAAAATTATAAGAGAAAAGCTGCTGCTGCCCCTGTTAAAGTTTTTTCTTCCACCGCTTAAAATAATGCAAAAAAAGAAACAGGAGGAAAACGGAGGGAGGCAGGCGGAAAACTTCTGCCACGTTGACGTTGCCATCGACATTGGCGACATGGGACCGCGGTTGCCTCGCCTCACCTGCGGTTTGGGTTTACCTTCCTTTTTCTCTTCTTTTATTTTTTGGCAGTCCCCGGCTGCTGCTGCTGCTGGCCTTCTTTCTGCACACCTTTGTGCCACCTCCCCTTTTGGGCCAGGTCTATTATGATGGCTCTGGCAACGTCAGTTTTTGAAGCTCTTTGCCATGAAATATGCAGAGAGCAGTTAAAAAAACTTTTTATTTGTATTAATCAAACAGAGTTATTCCTTTCCCCCCTCTCACTTTTGACAACAATGGCAGCAACTGCATTATAAATAGGCGCAAAGACTGTCTGGGAAAAGTATGGGTTCGGAAGGGGGGCTGACTGTGATTGTTTCGACATTTTTGACAATTATCGCTTGAAAATTTCTCAATGACAACTCGGCGGAGGAGGTGGGCCCAAGGCAGCGATGACAAATTAGTTTGGCCATAAAACTGGAGAGTGCGATCAAAGCAAACAGTTTGTCGCCAACTCGCCACCTGCCCCATCCTCACGCCTTACTCTGGACTGCCATCGAGCGAGTGTGTCCTTTGCCAAAACGTGGGCCATATAAAAATCGCATAAACAACTTCAACTGCCAGTACAACGACGCCCTGAAAAAGTAACTACATCAACGTCATCATTGGGAGTAAAGTGTGACTGTGGAGGGTTCGGAAAATCCTTGCCGAGCCCAGGGATGCGTGCATGATTCTTATATCCTTGCAGGGTATTATAACTTTAGTTAGAAGCTTGAAACACTGTGAAGAAATCATTTCCGACCTTATAAATCTTGATCAGCATCAACAGGGGAATCTTTTCAGCTATATCAGAAGTTTTCCATTTTTTTTTTTAAAGGAAAGGGGTTTCATCATTAAAATGTTGAAAAATTGGCAAAAATTCACATTTTAAATTGAGTATGCAGTTTTATTAACCGGCTAAAAATGAACGTAAGAACGCTTTCCGAATTGAAATTAATGCATTTTTGGCTTAGTTATCAGTTTTTTACATTTAGATTTGTAGTAAAATTTGCATATAAAAATATAGTTAATATTGATTAAAAAATGGTACTTTACCTTCAGTCAGAAGCTTAAAAGAAAGTGAAGGAGCCATTTTCGACCCTATAAATCATATATATTCTTGATCAGAATCAAAAGCCGAATCGATCTAGCTATCTCCGGCCAAAATCTAGTTTTTTCAAAAAATTGAAATTTTATAAGGGGTTACATCATTAAAATTGTCAAAAATTCGCAAAAATTTTATATTCCTAAAATATTAAATTGAGTATGCAGATTTGTTGCCCTAATAAAAATTAACATAGGTCAGCCTTCCGATTTAAAATTGGTGCTTTTTTGGCTTAGTTTTGAGTTTTTTAAACTTTGATTTGTCGTTAAAATTACCATACAAAATTACTATATATATCTATGGGGAATGGGAATATTTTAAGCTTAGTTATGAACGAATTCCGATTTGATTTTATAATTTATTGCAAACTTTAGCTTTCCGAAGTTTGTTTCCTTTCTTTTATATTGTAGGGTTTTCTTTGACTTTCTCTACAAGGATATAAAATTGTCTGGCTTAAATATTAATTGTATTGTTAAAAGAGTTTGTTTGTTTCTAGTTTATGAATATTTTTTTCGCACTAAACATGAATACAAAAATTATTTACACATAAAAAACAAGCAAGACAGCTAGGTTCTATCATAAAATATTCGATATGTAAAGTTTTGTATGTTAAGTTATATGACATATGAAAAACTTTAAAATATATTGACTAAATGTACAAAAATATTGATGGCCGAATGTGGCTATGCAAATGTTGCAAGACAAATGTTGCTAGATAAATATTGCTAGATCAATGTTGATAGACAAATGTTGCTAGGTAAATGTTGTTACTACGGTAATGTTGCTGGAAACATGTTGAGCAACTCCGATTGGCTAAATGAAGTCTCCTTTTGATACTGATGGAGTAAAAAATAAAAAACAAAATCGTTGGGAGCTTATAACATTAACTTAACTTACTCAATTTAATTCTACTCAATAATTCAAATTCATCATTCCACACAATATTGTTCCTTTTAAAGTCACAGGTAAATAATGATCATAAAATCATAGCCAGATCCCTGGTTCATGTGAGCTCACCTCTTTTGAGGGGCCACCACAACCCCACGCACAGTCTCAGCTCTGGGAAGGGGTTGTCACCCCCACTACCTCCCTAACCCGCCCCGTAGACCCGCCCCATCGTCTGGCATTTGCAATTTGGCAACACATTTTGGTTACGCGGCCTTTTACTGACAAACCGGCGAACTGGCAAGCAAAGTCACTCCGGTCCGCTCCGCTCCAAGCACTTTATATAAATTGTGTACAAATACTTTTTATGGCTCTTCGAGTGCAACCTATTGGCTCTTTGATATACGACGATGTGCGATGTGCTGGAGACGGAGAAGGAGTCGGTGGCTAGAGATGTGTCCGCTTTTATTACACATTTTTGCTAAATTACAGTTTGGCCGCAAAGTTTATTTACCCGGCAAGTTGCGTGGCATTTTAATAAACCGAAAGTTGGTTCGATTTACGTTGCAAGCACCATTAAGTGTGGGTAATTATTCAATGACTCAAAACCGAAAAAGTTTGCCACGCATATTCTGCCACAGCCAGAGGTAACTGAAAACTGAAAACTGAAATCAGGGAAAAGCCAGGGGAAAATCTTTTGGGATGTGATAAATGGATAAATGCAGAAACTCGTTTATTAATGTTGACATTATAGGATTTCTTTCCTCCTTTTTAAGTTGTCTCTTGTACACCCAGCTATAAATCATTGCTCTAAACTGATTTACATTTTTGTCGCATTTATGAATGTCCGACAGTTGCACCTGTTGGGCGTCACAAAGGTGGGAAGGAAGGGTTACGGGCTGGGCTACTGGTGGGGCTTGGAAAATATATAGATATGCAAAATTGATTTATAAAAGTCGGCGGACGACTTGCGCTTTCAGTACACTCTACTACAACCATTTTCTCACCCGTTTTACAGATGGCGAACCCATCAAGCTGCCCGACAATTTGGAGAGCCTGCCAAGAGCCGACAGTTTTCCATCACAGCGCCATCGTTGGAATACAAATGAGGTCAGTTTTAGTTCTAAGTTTGTGTGTTGTTGACTATTTCTGTTTGTATTTGCCTCCCTGGCATTTCTGTTCTGTTTTCTGTTTTCTGTTTTCTGTTTCTATTTGCATTTGATTGCACATAAAATTGTCGAAACGGGGAAGTCAAGTGAAAGCCAAAGGCAAGTCGTTGTCGTCGAGTGCTGAGGGGCGGCACCGAAGGACTCTGTACTCTGTACTACGAACTTGGAACTCTGGCCAAGTAATCCAAGGGGTTTCTTGGACACTTGACAGGCGGATGAGCCTGCCAGTCCACGGGCAGGACACTTTGACAGCCTTCGACGACGGCTCTTCCTTGGCTTGCCACACATACATCCACTTGTCCATTTCTATATGCAGATTAATGAGATGGTGGCCAGTCTATTAGGAAACGCTTCGCGACGTTTTTATTGCGCCACAAAACTATAATGCAAACATGGGTTAAAACTAGTGCCACAGGGAAACTGTGTGTTTTTCGGGGACAACGAGGCTTTTTAAAAACCTGACCACGCGTCGCCGAAAAGTTTCGCTTCCGTGTTGTCCACTCCCTTTATTTATTTTTGGTTTGCAATAAAAGTTTTCGCGGAAAATGAGAAAACAACAACAACAAAATATATGTATATATAAAAAAAGGGAGACAATTCTTTGCAATGAGCTTGACTTGTTGTTTTACTTGTGAATTAAGCGCAACCGCAAATATTCATTTGGACAGTTGTAAAGTTCACGGTGGTAAGGGTTTTTGGGTAGGGTTTTTATTTCCACACTCTTCTTGCCACTAAAAGTTGACTAAATTAATGGAAGTTGGAGAGCAAACGAAAGGTTTCTAACGATAAAGTAAAATAAGGGAGAAGGTTTAGAGATTAAAATGAATTTTAAGTAATTGTTTAATAAGGTAAAACTTCTTAGGTGAAGTTAGTTAACTTCTATCTCATTGAAGTGCTATGGTTAACAGTATTATATGGCCATTTTCTGTTACCTTGTTAAACAATATTTGTTCCAAAATATGACTAACTGAAAAGATATAAATCTCCATAGTTCCATAAATATTTCTATAAAATTATAGATGATTATAAAACCTGTTCCCGTGAGAGCATTAAATAGTTGATTAAAATAAAAACTTGACCATACAAAAGGCAAAGAATCCCAGGACATGGCCAGTGCCAGCTTCGAAATCCAGCGGCAGCAGGACTTGTGAAGGACCTCTCTTTCCTCCCTCCACTGCATCAGGATGCAAAAATTACAAAATGTAGCCGTGTTCGGGGCATAAATAAAATTACGCACGCTTATTTTAGTCTGCTTACAGGGAAAAACGGGGCGCAGTTGTGGGACTCTGACCCCTGACCCCTGACCCCGTCCGCCATCCACTGTCGCTTTAACCACATGGTTTTAATTTGGCATTTAAGCAGGAGTAGCCTGTCCCGGGGCCAAAAACCAGAGCACGGAGCAGAGCCACTCGACCCTGCTCATAAAGCAACTGCAAAATAATAGCAGCAACAATGACCATGTGTGTGTGTGTGTGTGTGGTTGCAAAAAGGATGCAGCTTAAAAATCAAAAAGTTAAATTGATAATGAGTCGCAATTTTATGCTTATTTTTTTCATTGCGCCTCATTCGTTTTCTGGGTGACCCGAACTTACCGTTCTGCGTTGGTCACCCGAAAAAGGGACCACTTGACTGGAAATGATTAAGTGGCTGGGTTTGAAATTAGTCTCTGGTCTCCTTGTTCTAAGGACATTCGAAATGGGTACGAAATGTACGAAAATCCTTGGGTTAAGGTATGAAAATCAGCGGGAATATGATATAATTGCGTTATTTTAATTAAAAGAAGGATCTATTACAGTGGTTTTGTTTAAAAAATTAACCTTAGATAAGAAATAGAAAGAGTACTTTTGAAATTATCTATGATTTTAAAGAGCGATTATATCAAAATATCAAGAGAACCTTAAGTCAACTTAGATATAGTCAGAAGCTTAAAACTCGGTGAAGGAATCATTTCCGACCCTATAAATAATATATATTCTTGATCTGCATCACCACCCGAATCGATCTAGCTATATCCGGTCAAAAAATAAATTTTTGAAATTATTTCAAAATTTGAAAATTTTAAAAGGGGTTACATCATTAAAATGTTCGAAAATTGACAAAAAATTAAAATTTCTAAAATTATAAATTGAGTATGCAGATTTATAAACCCAATTAAAACTAGCACAGAACTGCTTTCCGAATTGAAATTAATGCATTTTGACTGAACTATGCCTATATTACAATTTACTTTGTCCATTAATTAGCATATGGAAATATTAATAATTAGCGATTTAATAAATGCATTCATTTAGATTTTCTTTATAGTTTAAGATGGTCAATGCCTTTTGTTGCTTAGTTATGATCGTCTTCACAATTGAATCCAGAAACCAATTACAAACTCCAAAGGTATACAATTTTAGGCTTTCCAAAGTTAGCTTTCCTTCTGGTTCATTGTAGTTCTTTATTATATTTTTTTTTTAAGTAAATTTTAGAGAATAATAATAGCATAAAACATTTTTAACAACAAATTTCTCTTGCAATTTTAGCTTTATAAATCCCCGTTGACTGAATGGGTTTTGATTTAGACTTCCTGATTGATTGATGCATCGTTTGTTCATCGCTTGAGCGAAAGTGTTGAAATAACATTTGACTAAGGCCACGCCCATTTGGGAGGGAAAAGCGTGGAATACGCTGAGGTGGGCATAAATATTTAATGCCTCGCCGCTTGGTGTATGTGCCTGGAATTCATCATAAAGCCAGGAGGAGGAGGAGGAGGAGGAGTGTGGAGTAGGTCGTAGGTCGTAGGTCGCTCTTGGGCCATGCATAAATAAGCGAGAGCCATCCATCTCTATACATATGTACATGTTTCTATCATTCCATATGCTCCGTTTTTCCTAAAGGCTAAAGTCAGGGGCAATTCTGGGCAAAATGCAAACGTTTGCCACTTGACAAACACGCGCCTGTGATTTGCTCTCAAACTCCCTCCTATATTTCCCGATATACAATTTTTATGACACTCGCAAATGCTGCGATATCTGCCCCAAAACTGAGACATGTGGCGAATCTCTCTGACAGCACAGCTGAGGATGCTGAAGATGCTGAGGATGCTGAGGATGCTGAGGATGCTGCTCCAGCGAATGTGAATGGATGGATGGCCACTTTGCATTATTCATGCAACGTCAAGGAAGCAAACAAATTGATAACTTTATCGGCAAAACATGCAATGAAATGTCTAAAATGGCCAAAAAGCGACGACCATTGGGGAGATTTTTCCTCTGTGAACTTTCGCTGACTGTTACTGTTGTGTGATTTGCATTCGAATGTCCTTTGACTTGGCTTGCTTTTAAGCAAACATAAGCCAACATATTCCCGACTGCCTGGAGGGCATTTCAAATATGCACACAAATTGCACTTGGGATGCGTCTCTTCTCCTGCTGCTGCTGTTACCCTTTACTTTTTTTGGCTTCCAGCCTGGTTAAGTGTCAACTGGCGGCGACACCTGTAAATTGTGGTTAACACACTGCCTTTCCCCCTCACCATATTCACCTTCATCCTTGTGTGTGTGGCAGTGTCCGCTTTGCGGTCAAATGAAATTTCTAAAATGTTTTCCTTTGTTTTATGGCGCAGAAATCCCTCCCATCCAGCTTTTTTTTTGGCGGAGGAAATGCCGCGAGTTCCGTGACTGGGCACTGGTCAACGGAGCCCATTAAGTCCGGAAATTGTTAGCACGTTAGTTAAGGTCAGTTAGCCAAGTTAGCGGGGGATACCAACCAAATATATGGCTAGCTGGTAAAAGTAACCAGAGTTCCAGTGTCGCAGCAATGATAAAGTTGGACTACGAAGGCCATTCTCTTGCTATCTGGCGAATATATAAATGCAAATATTGGAATATTTATCATAGTCTGTGTTTTTTTTTTGTGTCTTCCAGGAAATCGCAGCAATTCTTATCAGCTTTGATAAGCATGGCGAATGGCAGTCCAAGGAGGTTCGAACTAGGTGAGTCATTAGGGCAAGAATTGGGGGTTTAAAATGATTAAAAATTAGAGTTTAATAATATTTCTTATAGCTACAAATAAGCTACAGCTATTTAATTAACAAATTCCAAATTGATTCTCCTCCTTAGACCCAAAAGTGGATCCCTATTGCTGTACTCCAGGAAGAAGGTCCGCTACAGACGCGATGGCTACTGCTGGAAGAAGCGTAAGGATGGCAAGACAACGCGCGAGGATCACATGAAACTAAAGTACAAGGCACAGAGGTGAGTCCGAAATTGTTTTCATATCCTGGACGAGTCCTGTTTGTTAGCTAGGCACAATTAGGCAATTAGCCGGAAGAGACCGTCCTCAAGCAGGACATTGGAGTCATTTGTCAACGGTCTAGAGAAAAAAATGTGCTTAAATTCCAGCGATTTCCTTGGGGTTCACAGTTCAGTTTTTATGTTTTTTCCTCCTCTTGACCGTACGAGGGGGGTTACTTTTGGGTGAGTTATGATTTCCCGCCGGAAGTAGACAGAAACTTACGGTGTCCTGGCCGGGATTCCTTCATCCGTTTCATCATGGCAAGTGTTTGCTCAAGGATGCATGCAACGACGCCGTTCCCTGCTAATGAAATAAGCCTTTGCCAAGGGTTAAGCTTATTTATAATGTCTGTCTGAATGTCTGTCTGAATGTCTGTCTTTAGTCGAAGGAATATCCCCCAACCGACCAGTCAGTAGTCCATTACAGAAACATAAAAACATTTGGCAATTTCACGCCAATTTTTTTCTTTCTTACTGAGCTCTGTGCCCCGTTTGTTTTTATTTTAATTTTTATTTTAATACATTCGGCAAAGAGATTTATATGCAGTTGGCAGTGCTGGCGGGGTGCCGTCTTCTTACATGATAACTGGGCCCAAACGAGGCGGCCAGGACAAAGGAAGTGCCAAAGGAGAGAAGCAGAAGAAGTCAGCGGCATATCGCGGCCAACGAGAGCCAACAAATTTATCAGCGGGCACAAGAAGTTACCCTCTTCCAAAAGGATACAAAAAAAATCAAAAACTAAGATAGAAAAAAGTGTAGAAAAAGTCTTGAGAACAAGAAAAATGCGCAACGAAATGTTTTATAAGTCAGGGAAACCCTTTTTCCGTAGCTCTTCCGTTACAGTTCGCCTGTCTCTGGGCTCTGAGTTTGAGTTCTGATTTTTGGCACTTACCAGGAGCAAGGACCAAGACCAAGTGGCGCCCCAAAGCGTGGGCGGTTGGTAATTTAATTTGATCTCTTCGTTTTTATGTTTTCCAATTAAATGGATTTGCTCTCCGCGGGTGAGCACCGAGCTGCGTGGAGGTCCTATTTTATGCTCTTGTTTGTGCTTTTCCGGTTTGATAAATTGAATTTCCCTCGATTTGTGCCACCTTCTCTCCCCACAGTGCATCTATGGCTGTTATGTACACTCGGCCATATTGCCCACATTTCATCGCAGATGTTACTGGCTGTTGCAGGTAAGTGAGGAGGAGTCCGGAGGCCTGCTCCTCTTATTCCTAATGCTTGGAAATCACTCTCCCTAGAATCCCGACATTGTTTTGGTGCATTATCTGAATGTGCCATATCCGGATGATAATAAAATGGCCGTGATAGCGCCCAGCATCACCCTTTGGGGGGACAAAAAGGAGTGGACCAAGGAGGAGCTGGTTAGCCAACTGAAGCCAATGCGTAAGTTTTAGATTAATTTTAAGGATTACCCTGTAAATGTAATTTAAAAAATTCTTATAAAGTCTCCACAGTCAACTCTGATGATGACTCAGACTCTGGCAACGATATAGAAATATCGGTAAGTACAAGGATGCAATGAGAGACATCCTCATTTGATTGAATTCTAATTTCCCTAAAAGACGGCCGAGACAGTGGAGTCAATAGTTTGCCAATTGATGGAGAAACAGCGATTGTCCCGCCAGGCTGCGTTGGTCAAGCAGCTGGACTGCGGCTGTGGGGATGCAGGATGTGCGGATGGTAAGACCTGCACGCATCCTGTGATGCGGCGTTCTGGGCTATCCTCAAGTCCTCGGTGCAGGAGAAGCGACTAGGGGAGCCCTTCAACGGCAACACGCCCAATGTGGTGGTGGCCAGCAAGCTGTACTCCCGCTGGGCAGAGCGACCAAGGCAGCACATGGATAGCCACGGACAGTTCCACAATGCCACGCAGCAGTTGCCTCAGGAGTCGGCCATCAAGTTCCAGATCATTCCGCCACAGCAGCAGCAGCAACAGCAGCAGCAGCAACAGCAGGCAGGACATGGAGATGGAAGCTACCAGCAGTATCGAGGAGCCAGTCAAATGCTGGCCGCAAGAAGCAATCTGGTGATGCAGCAGCAGCAGCAACATCAACAGCAGCAGCAGCAGCAATACCATCAGCAGCACAGCAGCAGCAACAGCAGCAGCACCTGAGCCTGCAGAGGTTCGTGGCCAGTCAAAGCCAGAACTCGGTGCATCTCAATCAGCAGCACAGGCTGCAAATTGCCAATACAACAATCACGGCCACAGCCAGAGATCCTGCAACGACTGGAGGAGGAGCAGCTGCAGCAGCAGCAGCGGCGGCAGTGGCAGCTGTAGTTGCCTCAAATGTTATGGACACCGAACTAATTGAAACCCAAAGCCACATGACCGCAAACAAAATCACAAACTCCGGCAGCAATAATAACAGCAGCAGCAGCAGTAGCAGCAATGCCGGCAAGCAATTAGCAGGCCAAACAAACAACGAATTAAATGTCGTAAATAATAACGACACCGGCAACAATAATAACTTCATGTACAATCATCAGCAGCAACTTAATGCTTCCAGCAACAGCAACAACAGCAGCCAGCAGCAACAGCAGCAACAACATTATTATAAATTGCAACAGACAGCAGCAACCCCAAGCAGTGGCCAACCTCAGCCTCAGTCTCAGGCTCAGGCTCAACCCCAACCCCTGTGGAGGCCATGTGCATGTCGCCGGAGCACCGCAACAGCAGCAGCAGCAGCAGCAGCAGCAACGGCAGCAATGGCAGAAGTCAGCCCCCAGCTGCCACGTCTTCCGCTGGCAACCCCTCCTGCGCATCCACATCCACACCCACATCGGGCAGCTCATCCACTTCGAGTTCCTTACAATCGATTATCGATGGCAATCAGCAGCAACAAATTACAACGACGTCGACGGCGGCAGCAGCAAATTGTGATAATTTAATGAGCGCCAATGCGCTCTCTGAGGTGAGTTGTAGAAACCGCAGAGGCTTATGATGTTTATGTTGATTAAATTCTAACTTATTCGACAGCAGGACTTGGGCAGCAGCAGCAGCAGCAACAGCCATAACCACAGCAATGGCAACGGCAACGGCAACATCAACAATCAGGCCACAGAAGTCCTCAACAGGAGTCAGTCGCAGACTCAACCCCTGAACCCAAATGGTTGTGCAACTTTCAGAGCTTCCAGTGATAACAGCAGCCAAATAAGCGCCAGCGAGAACAGCAGCAGTAGCAGCAACAGCAGCAGCAGCAGTAGCGAGGATGAGCCCCAGGCCGCGGCGCTGAGCTTCTTTAATGAGACGCTGGATCTGTCCCACGAGGACATTCAGCGCACCTTGATAGCCAACATGCCGTACAACGTACAGGCACCTTCAGCAGAAGCAAGCGCAGCAGCAGGAGCTAGTGCGCCCTCAGCGATAGCAGCAGCAACATGCAACACCAAAGCCAAGAACAATCAACAGGAGATCGAGAAGAAATCATCGACGGGAACTGAGGCAGAAACGGAACCCGAGGAGGATGAAACGGATGATGTGTTTGCCAATCTGGATGCTTTCGATATGCTCGTAGAGTTTCCCGAACTAGATCTGGATGATAAGCAGGCCCTCAATAACACAGCCCTGGAGCAGGGATCGTATTTGGGAGAGCCTGCGCCGCAGACGCAGCCACGCAAGGTCCTGAACATATGCGACTTTAGTCCCGAATGGTCGTACACGGAGGGAGGCGTTAAGGTCCTGGTGGCAGGACCCTGGACAAGTAGCAATAGTGGCGCCTACACGGTGCTATTTGATGCTCAGCCCGTGCCCACGCAACTGGTGCAAGAGGGCGTCCTCCGTTGCTACTGTCCTGCCCATGAGGCGGGATTTGTAACGTTGCAGGTGGCCTGCGGCGGATTCCTCGTCTCGAACTCGGTGATGTTCGAGTACAAGTTGTCCCTGCTGGCGGATGCTCCGTTCGATGCCAGCAGCTCCAACGACTGCCTGTACAAGTTCACCCTGCTCAATCGCCTGTCCACCATCGATGAGAAGCTGCAGGTGAAGACCGAGCAAGAGCTAACCGACCACACCGCTCTCTATCTGGAGCCGAACTTTGAGGAGAAGCTGGTGGCGTATTGCCACAAGTTGATCAAGCATGCATGGAGCATGCCCAGCACGGTGGCTTCCTGGACAGTGGGATTGCGTGGCATGACGCTCCTCCATCTGGCCGCCGCCTTGGGCTACGCCAAACTAGTGGGCGCCATGCTCAACTGGCGGTCAGAGAATCCACATATCATACTCGAGACGGAGCTGGACGCCCTAAGCCAGGATGTTTATGGCTTTACGCCGCTCGCCTGGGCCTGTGTGCGTGGCCATGTGGAGTGCTCGCTGTTGCTCTACAAGTGGAATCACAATGCACTGAAGATCAAGACGCAAGCACAGCAAACGCCTCTGGATTTGGCCAGCATGCGAGGACACAAGCATTTGCTGGCGCAAATGTTTCGGCTGGAGAAGGAGCGCTGCCGGAAGCCCCAATTGCGTGGTGGCCTGGCTAATCTCTCAATGAACATGGGCGTAGAAGCTGAAGCAGAGGAGCTACAACAACAGCAGCAGCAACAGCAAAGCTTTAGCGGCTTTGATTTGGAGCTACAGCGAAAGCATGATGGGGTGTTCCTGAGACCAGTAGCTGTGCATAGGTAAGAGGGTCTTATCCATACAGTTTACTGGAGTTTATTTAATGGTTTTCTTTTCATCTAAACCCTTAGCAATCAAAGTCCTCCAAATAGTGGCAGTCGTTACTCGAAACGCTCTTCAATAGACAGTGGCATTAATATGGATATACGCAGTAAATCAGGCAAACCATTGGCCAGGCTTCATAGGTACGCTTACAAAGCTCTCTCAGTTTCAATAAATATTAATTATAATTTTACCTAGCAACTATGAGAGTCATGACAATTATGCCCTGGGCGTGGACTCGCCGCTGGACTCGTTGACTGGCACCAACTGTTTGCTGTCGCCGCTACGCAAAATGGACTTTGCCTTGTGTAAGTTTTGGGTTGGTTTGGTCTCCCAGAGAAACCCATCTTCAATTAGCTCAAAATAATGGTTTTAATGGAAATCAAAAATCAAAATGCTCAAAATTTTCTCCGGTAAATTCACAAATAGGCGAGGTGGTATCCACGGGCGAATCGAGCCCCGTTAACGACAAAGACATCGATGACAACTCGACCAGCGCCACCGATGTGACCATTGGCAATGACTTGGCCCTGCCCGATGCCGTTGTAGGTCAGTGATGATGGTCAGAGCAGGACACAGCTCTCACCCGTAATCTCTAAACACTGTAGTTAAAACAAAAAACATACTAACTATGTATATGGGGCTGTGGCTATATCGATGTTGTTGATGTTGTTGTTGTTGCTATTGCTGTTTGTTGTTATATGTAATCATGTGTGTGGTGTGTGGTGTGTGGAGTGTGCGTACGGAAGCTCGTTTAATCGAATGTAAATGTTCATTATTAATAATAATATTGATTGGAGGCCTCCCCTCCTGTGCGCTTTTATCGATGTCTACATTTAACCAAATTACTTGTACTAACAAAAACACTCGCCGCATAATTTTAGTCACGATTTGATCGTTTGTAAATATAAATCGAGGTGTATGTAAATATAGCTAGCGAAACACTATAATCAATATGCTTGTCGGTGTGTATCTGTGTGTGTGTATAACAATAATTAACAACGACTTTGTTTATATATCGTGATCAATTTGGGGACTCATTATAATCATTTATCGATTAAAGTTCCACTCGAACTTAATATCAGAAACTGTAAAAAGTGACCAACTCTGTTCTGTAGACTTGTTTGCCATGTATTTGTATTGATATTTATAGTTTTGAATGGTTTTTGTAAGTCAACTTTTGACCTGTTTCAGGGGATTCGGATGCCAAAGTGCTGACCCTGGCCGAGCACATAATAGCAGCCATGCCAGAACGCATTAAGGTGAGTTACTATCTCATATATAATAACAATGCATTACAATTGTTTCTTTCATTTCTTCAGAATGAAGCCGATGAGATGATGGTTCTGGGCAGCCCCTTGACAGAACCCCTGACTTCCGAATCGTCAGCTTTGACAGACAGCTTTATGGATCCTTTGCTAGATTCACTACCCAATACCCATTTTGACAGTGATTTTAGCTTTGATTTCCATGACCATAGCTATCGCTATCATGATGTCAGCACGCCCTGTTCCAGTCTGAGTCCAGCCAGTTCGGGACCGTTGCAGTCGCCTGCCAGTTACTCCATACTGGGCACCGATCCATCGGTCAGCTCACCGAGTCCGCCGCCGTCGACAAAACAACTTACGGAATTCCTGCATGCCTCCAGCATTTCGCAGTATCCCTTCGAGGCGGATTTCTCGAAGCTCACGCTCACGGACACGGAGCAGCGGGAGCTGTACGAGGCGGCCAAGTGCATACAGAAGGCCTATCGATCGTACAAGGGCAGGCAGAAGATGGAGGAGCAGAATAAGGAACGCACCGCCGCCACCGTCATTCAGAACTATTATAGACGATACAAGCAGTATGCCTACTACAGGCAGATGACGAACGCTGCCCTGGTTATCCAGCATGGATATCGCTCCTATCGGCGCAACAAGCGCTTCAAGAAGAGCGGTCTGGGTGGCATGGGTAGTGGCAGTGATCACGGTAGCGTCAGCAGCAACTCGCAGTGCCTGTCCAGCTTCTATGATCATTACAAGCAGGATCAGCAGCAGCAGCATGAGATGGGCTCGCAGCCGAGCACGCCCAAGGAAACGAGTCCATCGGGACCGTTGAAGTGAGTGAAGGAATAATTACCTATTTTTAATGATTATTTGCTTTTGTTTTCTGATGTTGAAGTGAAGAGTATTTCAATGTATTTATAAACAAACTATTCTCTAATTTTTCACAGGCGAACGTACTCGCAATCCACCCAGAATCAAGCTGCCAGAAAAATCCAACAGTTTATGAGACAATCACGCATCAAGTAAGTACCACTAATTGATTCGTTTAATTAGTCTCTAAGTCTAATGCTAAGCTAACTCATTGGATGTAATGTAATTTGCACGCAAGCATTTGGGATGGCAATTTGACGACTTTGGTAAGACCGTGGAAAGGTTTTGGTTTTAGTTTTTAAACTGGTTGATTTCCTAAGTTTATTTGAACCTCCTAACATTACACAAACTAATCCAAATGTATTTATTTAATAACCAACAGACTACAGAAAGAGCGAGCCGAAAAGAGAAGCTGGTGCACCAACGCAGGGCGGAATACCTTCAAAACTTGCAGTTTCAAGGGCAGCAGGAAATGTTGGTGTGCCACGAAAATAGGTCAGTGAACCACAATTATATATATATTTATTAAATAATTAATTTGATTGATTTCACAGCAATTCAGCAACGAGTAGTGGCAACACCGGTGCCAGCAACATCAACAATCTACACCAAATACAATCCAATCAGTGAGGGTCGCCAACTGAGTGAAGAACTTTTAACATAGGAACGAGCTGCATGTTCCATAAGAATTTATGAATAGCTTTAACAATCGAGTGAAACTTTCTACTTTCGTATTCGTTGTTCCCATTAGGACAAACCAATCCCAAGCACCTCTATATATAGTGGAACTTTGTTTCTCTAAAACTCTCTAGATCTTACACCACATACAAACACACACTGAATTAGTAGCAACTAAAACCTGCACTTTGATTCATTTGCCTAACGTATTTTAAGAAAGTATGTATTTTCAAACTGAAATGTAGTTGCCTAGGTTAGTGTTTTTTAAGGGTATTATCTTAAACCTAACTAAAGATCGGACTCCAGGGAGAAGATGAGAACACAATTTTTCCATTTGTCAACTCGAAAGAACTTATTACCGAAGCCTTTGAAAACAACAACTTTTTAACTCCAAATGTAGTGGAAAACGTAGCCTGCAAAATATATTATATTATATATATATACATACGATTTAAACCAATATTACGCATGTGTATGCCTCTAAATAGTTACATTTGTATATAGATAAGGCCTAACTCGAGGATAACTAACTAAATAAACTCTAGTCTATTTTAACTTATGTATTACCAAGCTCTGCGATGCGACTATGCTTGTCTTTAAAGCAAAAAAAAAAGAAAAACAAACAAAAAAAGATATAAGAAAAGCATTAATCCTCGATCCTAACTAGTTGCTAAATGCTAGCTCCTTAAGACTCCACTTAAAGTATAAAATAAGCAAACGTTGTTGTTGATTTCTAAAATCAGATTCGTATGGCGTTCTATCATGTTTCAAAGAAAGCAAACTCTATTCTAATTTCCCCTAAGCAAGTACTTACTACGATAAATGTGTACCAAGTCCTAACTTATCTAGACTAAGCCTAGCTAATGATAGAAGAAATCAAAGAGCAGAAGAAGCCTTTGGGCTTTGGCATGGAATTTCCAACTTTTTGCTGTCGCTAACTCCCCCCAAGTCAGTCTTCATTGCTCGATAAAGACAAATATATATATATATACATACATATATGCAAGAGAGTAAAGTTTTTAAACTAAATGTAACAATAAATGAATTTTTGTAAATTATTTTTGTCCGTCCACATTGTTAGCTTTCATAACATACCAACAAGAACATATATACTTACAAATATACAATATATAAATATATATATAATATAGAAAGAGCCGATACTGATACTGATAAAGTACCCCTCAAGTTCGTATTAACAAAAACACATACAGACACACAGGCTGCGAAAACTATGGGTAGCACCTTAGTTATACAGGCACTTACCTCCAGCAGAGCAAGACACCATAAATAAAATCCCCAAAAAAGAATAATAATTAATATTAAAAACCAAGTGCAAAAAGGCAGACTGTACTCAACGAGCATGTTTTTGGTCACAATCAGAGGGTATTGGAAGTGCAGCTGTTGTGGGCGGGATCTAGGATTTATCACATTGTTAACTATTTAACTACGAAACTATTATACTTAATTCGCACTATTATATTACTCGACGAAACTTTGATTGCATTTTGCTCCAACTTAACTATGTATAAATCTGATAACTGATTCGAAATGAAGACTAAATACGATTTCACTACTCAACTGACTTAAGAATTGCAATCAATTTTGTTAAAACTGTTTAGGCAGGGTGTTAGATATGTATGAAAACAGCTGATAACTTAAAACCAATTAATTGCAATATTTGCACATCTTACACACACATACTAAACTCGTAACACCCACACACACACTTACACACAATTTATAAACCTCAAAGTAGCAACCTGAGTGTGTTTTAAAGAAAGTAAGACAGTGAGAAAGTCTTTTTTAGATAGAGAGAAAGGCGCGGCGAGGCCAAAAGGCAGAGAAAACTTAAGTACCTTAAGCCAATTGGCACTAAAACTAAACTTAAATCTAACAAAAAAGAAATAAAAAACAATTAGAAGTACCGAAATATAACAAGTGGAGGTGTTTTTTCGAAAATATCCTAGCGGATTGTAGGGCCTATAGCCTAATATAGTTTTGTTTGAATGTTTTTTCTTTCAACTGAACTAAAAATCTTTGAAAAAACAAATTATGCAATGCAACACCAAGATTGTTTATAGTATCTAACGAAACTTTACACAATACCAATGAATCTATTATAGCCAACATAATTGGATATTTGTACTCACATATCTGTTAGATCATTTACACCTATATATCTTCTTCGTCTTATTATAACTTCTAAAGTGCGGCGGTCTACTTCCACTTTGACTTTAAACTGAACTTCAACTTCAAATCCAAACTACAACTACAACTACAACTCCAACTTCAGCTAGTTAAATAATAACAACAAAAAAATCAAGCATAAAACCAACACTATCCCCAAATCCAAATTGAAATATATGGCAGCTTGAATTTGAATCGTTTGTTTCCGAATTTCAGCTTAGTAGATGCATCGGTAAGAAACTGTTAACTAAAACCCTTAAGCGAAATATACCCTAGCGTGTACTCTTTTTAAATATTATACCTAACTTGTACGGGATACTTAGCATGAACTATACACATACATATATCCGCAAGCTATAAAGAAATGTTTAACGAAAAAAATCAACGTATTATTATTATATGTACAGATTCAGAAACACACAACAACAAACAACACCCACAACACAAAAGCATAGAGTTATATATACAATATACAATATATATATATTGTAAAACGACTTTCCAGTTTCTGTAAAATTGTAATTACATCCAATAAAGTTTAATTCAACACTTTAAACTGGTCCTAGTCTTTATCCTTGGCCCATCTAGAGGCCCTTTCCCTGTCTTCTTGCCGACCTGACAAACCAATTAGTAATCAATTTGTCTAAGTGAGCCGCCTAACAGCTGGCGCCAGTCATTATCAATGGATTGTCCTTCGGACTAACCCTATCTTCCCAAAAGGAAAGCAAACTTCAGGTAACAAAAAATTAATAAGAAAAAATACCCTCAGCTGCTTGGGTCATTGGGCATTTCCTTTTCTTCCAGTTTTTCCTCTTTTCCCCGGGGCTCAGCTCTCAATTAACACTTGCCGCACTGCGGGGGCGGGGCCGAGGATGAGCTAATGGGGCGTGGACGCAGACACATCTGTATCTTTGTATCTGTATCTTTTAGCTGGGCTGCGTTGTTTCGTAATTACGAGCACAATGCAAAATGCCAAGGCATTCGCACTCGCACTGGCAGTGTCTTGTTAATAAATCGCCCAACTCTCGACCTTTTGCCGCTGCTGCTGCTGGAAATCGGATGCCGGAGCCTTTCCGCTTTTCCAGCTCAATTTACACTTGTTTATGGCCAATCGCCATGCTATTTAGTCCACAAACAAAAAAAAAATCATATTCATTTTCCGAATGCGATTTTCTCGCTCCTCGGGGCCTGATCGCTTCACTGGCTGGCTGCTTGACATTCGGTCTGTCAGCAGCGGAAGCTGCTGCTCCGCTGGGTAATGTGAAACCAAGCGTTGCCCTCCGTTAGCGCTTTCCAGCCACAACAATAAACCGAAAGCAATTCTCTCTCTCTCCAGTTTTTATTGTATTTCGGTTGTTTTTATTTTTGTTTTTTTGGTAAAGAGTAGTCGTTGTTTAGTTGGAATTTTCGGGCTATTCATGATTGTTTCAGTGCCTTGTTTTGTGTGTTCGTTTTATATATTATTTTATGGTCATTGAGTGACGCTGCCACTGTGAAGTGGCGTAAGCCGGCTTCCATTCAGTTAAAAAGGGCAAAGGTAGCCAATAAAATTGGAATGGGTTCTCTTTTTATTTTTTTAGAGGTTCTAATTTCATTCCATTCAATTGGGTTGTTTAAATAAAATGTGAAGATTTCCAATCACAATCAAATTATAAAATTAATTACACAAACAAAAGACTTGAACAAAAAACTTGACCTAAAAACGACATTCGTAGGAAGTCATTTTTTTAGAAATTTACATCTGTGTTAATTTCTATTATCACAGGAAAAGGAAACTATATGAAATTAGTTTAAGAACGTACAATATATAGATAAATATACATATAATTTTAAATGAAAGAAAAGTGGGGGAAGCTAATAGCCATTTTAAAACAATAAAAATATACAATGAAGTAATATCGATTTTCCATTTAGTTGGTTACATCGTTAAAATTTTCGAAAATCGGCCAAAAATTCACATTTAAAATGGAATAGGCAGTTTTATTAACTGTCTAATAAGTAATATAAAAACGCTTTCCGAATTGAAATTTATGAATTTTTGACTTAGTTATGATAATTTTTATGATATATGGGTATATGATTTTCGAAATCCCGAATCTAGCTTTCTTTCTTTCAAAAAACTTAATAAGTACTATACAATTGTTTAGAAATTAAGAAGGATTATTTAATTTAATTTGAAAAAAGTGATCGAGGACATGAAACCGTTTTAAGACCGCTATTTTTATGATCTATTTTCAGTTTTCTGTAAATATTGTTCCCAAAAACAGGACATTTATTAAGTGTTGATAGAGGTGTGAAAACGTTAAGAAAAAAAAACAGCAAAAAAACCTTTCCGACTTTAATTGCTCTTAAATCTCCAAAGGTGGCAAGGAACTAAAACGGTCTTTAATTTGGGATTAAGACAATTGATTCCCCTCCCGTGGAGAACACCCACGAGCCTCGTGAGCGTTTTGCTACAATGTTGCAGCGACATTTTCACGCTGCTGCTGCTGTTGCTGCTGCTAATCAGCGATCGATTGGCTGCCATAAAGAGACTTTGGAGGGGCCATAAAACAATTATCTTGAATTTAAAAGTCTTGGCACACAATAAACTAAGCCATACTCGTAGGTACTTGTCTCTGGAATCTGGGTCAGGCTAAAGCAGTGATTGGGCCCAAGAGTATGTTATGGGTATTTACCTCAATCGGAGGTGACGACACTTGCCGATAATTGACGTTCACCATTATTGGGATTAACAGTGAGCAGCGCATCGTCATTCTACCTAGTGAGTCAGACCAAGATCAGGTAAGTACAACAATGGCTGTTCAATTGTTTTGCGAGCCTGAGCCACCTGTTTATTGTTAGCTGTCAGCGCTTTCCACCAAACTGTTTAAATTAACTTAATTGCATTTAATAGGCTGCCATCGGGTGTTACTCCAACGGCACTAAACACATCTTGTAGCCCGTCAGAGACAGACCTGGCCTGGCCTGGTCCGGTCGTGAGAAGTGAGCCTGTCTGGCGGCCTGCCCAGGAATTAGCATAAATGACATATCAATTAAGACGACACTCGTATCCGAGAAATGCATTAGATGGTCGGCCTTAACTTCGCCTCCTTCTTGGCCACTTTTGCAGCTACCGTTTGTGGAGGTGGTCGGGGGAGAAGCCGGAGTCGAAGGAGGTTCCATGGTAGCTGTTGGCAGTGTTGGTAGAAAAATAAAAAATGAACAAATTTCCCAACTGGTCAAGAGGCGGACTGTAAATAACTGTCGATAAATCATTTTGAACAAATGTTCAAAAACAATTTGTAAAAAAATAACGCAGCAATCGCGCCTCTGTTGTAGTTGAAGTTGATGCCAAAGTCAACACACACAACAAGTTATAAATTTGCGAAAAAGCCACAAAACACACATTTGTAGCCGCACTTTGATGAACATGATTTGTGTTTTGTTCGACACGCTGACAAATCGCCGAATGCAGCCGCAGAGCATGAAGATCTCTGATCGGTTAGCTGAGGCTCATCTCCTCAGCTGAAGCCCCACCGTTTAGGCCCAAAACCGTTCTCGGCCAACACGACTTTTACCCACATAATTGATTTGATTGCCGACGAAAGTTGTTTCTCGTTTTTTTTTCCCCCAAAAAAGGCCCGACTAACATTAAATTGAGGTCTCCGTCATTATCATTCATTCAGCGAGGAGCCAAAGTCACGTGCAGGATCGCCAATAGGCCATAATTGATGGGCGAAGAATCACCTGAAGTTGGCTAGTTGCATCCAGCCTCATCGAACAGGGCTCTGCAACTTGGTTGAACAACTTGTTTGCAGCAAACTGAGTCGAGCTCATGCCTCGGTTGAGGTGGTAGTTGCAGTTCGATTGTCCTGTTGGAACGAATAAGTAATTCGTCAATCACAGGATATCAGTCTGTCCTTCTGCCACAAAGAACCGATCTCAGTGACTCTAAAAGTTAACTCTACCAACTTGTCATATAAATTTGTCTGCTCATTATTTCCCAGCCACATTTGCCTTAATTTGTCAACATGTTTTGCCTTCAGCCTTTTTATACCCTTGCAGGGTATTATAATTTCAGTCAGAAGTTTGCAACGCAGTGAAGGAGGCACCTCCGACCATATAAAGTATATATATTCTTGATCAGGATCAACAGCCGAGTCGATCTAGCCATGTCCGTCTGTCCGTCTGTCCGTCTGTCCTTCTGTCCGTCTGTCCGTTTCTACGCAAACTAGTCTCTCAATTTTGAAGCTATCTGAATGAAACTTTGTAGTTAGCCTTCTATATACTCTCACTCGTATATATGTCGAAACGGGCCGGATCGGACGACTATATCATATAGCTGCCATAGGAATGATCGGATAATATTTACAAAAAAAATTATAACAATTTCAGTTTTCAACAGAATTTGATCAAATTTAAGATATAGCCATTTTACTATACTCTACAATTTTGTATAAAATTTAATGAAAATCGGACAACTATATCATATAGCTCCCATAGGAACAATCGAGAAATTAAGACAATTAAAAATTATAACATTTTCAGTTTTCAACAGATTTTCATCAAATTTGAGGTATAACCATTTTATATCAGTCTTAAATTTTGTGTAAAATTTTATGAAAATCGGACTACTATATTATATAGGTGCCATACAAACGATCGTTAGATGTGGAGAAAAATGCACATCTGTGACTGTAAAACTGCAAATATAATATGTAAAGGTGAATGAAATGAAAGCAGGTATTACTTCATTGTTTTTTAACACAAATAAATATAATTTATATTGTTGGGATTCCAAGTCATAGAAGTTCTATCTGCAAGGGTATATAAACTTCGGCGTGCCGAAGTTAGCTTCCTTTCTTGTTTAATTTAAGTTTGTCAACAATTTAAGCACAATTAGACAAAGTGAATTAGCCATGTCCATGTTAGGACTGCTTTTGGGTATTGAATATCATAAAGTCGACTGCGGCTTTCCTACTTTCTATGTTCGTTTTGGCACAAAGTGTGATTATTTATCACTTGAATACAAAACATAAATTATGAAGTATAATAAATATATATAAGATATAGTACAATAAATAAAATACAAATGTCTAAGTGACAGTGAAAGCTGTCAAGATCTTTTTCTATATTTTTATATGCAGTTTTGTATAGAAAATTCAAATGTTAATATAGCCATAACTCAGCCAAAAAAGCATAAATTTCAATTCGGAAAGCTGTTCTGTGCTAGTTTTTGTTAGGTTAAATAATCTGCATACTCAATTTAAAATTTAGGAAAGTTCAAAATTTTGACAATTTTTGACAATTTTAATGATGTAATCCCTTATAAAATTTTCAAATTTTAAAAAATTTTCGAAAATTTATTCTTTGACCGGCCATGGCTAGATCAAATCTGCTGTTGATGCTGATCAAGAATATATATGAAATATGGGGTCGGAAATGACTCCTTCAGGGTGTAGAAAGCTTCAGAATAACAGTAAAATACCCTAAAAGGGAATACAAAATAAGAAAGTAAGGGATTTGGTATTCCCTCTATTTAAAAAGAAATTCTTTGATTTTCTATAGGATCCTAGAATACTATGGCTGGAACTCATCCTGTTTGGTAGAAAGCCGTAAAACATACTAAAAGGACTTTGACTATCGTCTTAGAACGGGTAAGACTAGTTAGTAAGTTTGTAAAAGTTGGTTAAAACAGCTTATGAAGTGAGATCTAGAATTGAATTTTCCTAACTCTTAACAGTTTTGGTCTTTAATTATTTTTTAAATATACATTGTTTAAAATGTTAGATACTTGTTAAGATGGTTTTTCCCATTTCTTTTCTTCACAATCCTCTTTTAGACCCAAAAGACTTTTAACTACCAGTTAAAATCCCATCGAACCCGAACATGTTCGATATCTGCTGGCATGTGAATAGTTTGGTTTTTTTCGGGCTTTGCTCAGTTCTTATTCAAACCCCGCGCTCGACAGTCGCAGCGATCAGTGTCCAGTTCCAAGTGCTCAAATAACCCAAAGTGAATCGATCGATCGATCGATCGAGTGCGTCTCCTGGACCCCAAAAAGCGTTTTTGTCGGCTCGTCTTGGCTCTTTAATTGCGTCACTAATGAGCTGCATTTATGTTAATCTCAGCACCCGGGACGTCTAAGCGCTGCACGATCCAAAGATCGGGGATCGATCCCATCTCCATATCGTTCGGCATTCGGCACTTCTTTTGCTTTTCCTTTTCTCATTTTTGGTAGTTTTCACCTGCTGAGCCGTTTATGGTTATTGCCGCAATTCCGTTGTGACAGTCGGAGGCGCTTTATCATAAATTAAAAAATCGTGTAGTCGCCGAGGGAAGGGACCACGGCCCCCACAAAAAACCAAAAGAAAAATAATACTTGGATCCCCACTGATGGATGATGATGCCGCTGATGGCAATTTCGGGTCTGAGTTATGGCCGGGCCAAGTCCGGAGATTTGCATGAATGAAACGCACGCGCTGATAAACGATCTGAAACTGAATCTGAAGCTGAAGCTGGAACCAAAGCTGGTCATCTTTAGCCGCCTGGTGATCACCGATCTCGCGATGACTTAATTGAAACGCCGCTGGCCGAACCGTAGCAGAAGGTGTTAATTAGCATATGAACAAATGGACAAAGCCTTTGCTGTATTTTGGTAGTTTTTTTCTCTCGGTTTCGGTCACTTACCGAGTGCTGCCGTCTGCTTTTTCTCGGTTCATTAATAACAAAAAGCAGAGCAAACTTTACCAATAGAAGAAGAGTGTTCCCCTTCGGTCTCGCATGGCATTGGTTTCTGTGTAAACTGTCCAGCTCTTTAGTGGAAATTGGAGACTGGCGGCAGCAGCATTATTATTATTATTGTTATTATTATTGTGCAAAGCTCAGCGAAAGGAAAATTAAGCCTCGAATGTATTGAGACTTTTAGTGCGAATAGAATATGATGATAGTGGCCAGCTGCTGGTGGGCTCGTATTCGTGGATTTGCATCGTCATGTGGAAAATACATAACAAGCTCTTAATCTACATACTCTGGATTATGGAAATAAGGTATAGTAGCCCCATAAATGCTCCATGCCCATTAACATTAACGAATAAACGAACAAACGAACGACCGAACAGTTATGTTAAGTTTCATATAACCCCCAAGGTTTTGCTAGAGCTGGGTTGGGTTTTTCCAGGCATTTTCCCAGCACTTCCCTGCGGCGGCTCCCCTTGGTTTAACTTTTATCGCAGACAGATCTGCACGAGTTGACAACTCTTTCGTTTCGCTTCGCTTCGGATTTCGATCTGTGTTTTGGTACAAGTTTACCTATCAGGCACATCGCCGGACACGATCGCTAATTTTTATCTCCAGAGCCACGGCTCGATGTATGTTAAATCCTTATCGGAACGCCCAAACAGTAACCGCCTCGGTGGTACTATCTCCTCTATATTCTATAGTTGGCGTTGTGGGCCAATCCGCAGCCAGGCAGCAGTTTGCGGAAAAAGGGGGAAAAGGGGAAAAGCTTTCGGAGAAAAAATCTCATTAAAATTGGCAATTAAATGGCAGGCAGCAACTAAAACACAAAACTGACAGAAAGACAGCAGTCTCTCATCGCGGCGAATCAAGCGAGGAGAGCACCGAGCAAAATAATGGGAATATTTAGGATACAAGATCCCAAAGATTAATATTTTATGTTCAAATAGTACATGAATTTTTCCAATATTTGTATAAGTTCTTCTTATACAACATTTTGAACATTTAGGGAAGTATAATTAGAGACCGTAATAACACTTCTAGTCCCAGAGAATCGTTCAAAACAATCTTTATATACCCTGAAGAAAAATATCTGTCAAATATTTCAGTTTACAACTGTGTAAATTCCGGGTTGAAGGGTTAAGAAACGTAGTTAAAATTCATGATTCATATGATTCAGAAATACAAGAGAAATATCATGGATACTAAAGTATTAAATTTATTTACTCTTTAGAAAATGGTTTGAAATTAGTATAGAACAAAATGTAAAGCAAGTTAGCATTGTAAATATCTTTGTAAGGAAACTAAAGATAAAACCTTTACAAAATATAACCACAATTATATAATTAAGTGTCAGAACAATTTAAATAAGGAAACTACTTAATCTTTAACTACAAATATTACCAAATCTAACCGTTTCAAGTTGCTCAGTAAATACTTTTAACAAAATCCCACTAAGCTTTAAGGCTTCTACTTATTTTTCTATCTGTATCTGAAACCATGGCTAAAATCGGATTCAGGATAGAGAGGGGTGGTGCCTGGGGGAGGAGCAACGACAACTGGAAATCAATTTTTGCCATAAACTCATCAACGTTGCCTTGTGTGTAGAGTGTGTGTGTGTGTTTGTTTCGACTGCTATCTAATTGCCTTGATGCAGTTGCAACTTGCAATAAGTTGAGTGTATCTTAAAGATACGCGCTCGCAACTTGATGGGGCAGGAGGCTTTCCTCTGTTTTTCTCTCTGTCAGTGGGCTGGTCTGTCAGTGGGCAGATCTCCCAGTAAAACCGAAAAAAAAAGAATAAGAAAAGAGAGAAGCAAGAAGCTTCAAAGGGTCTTAACCCAAAAATGTTTAGCTCGTGTAATTGAGGTTACCTGCAATTTTAAAGCGCATGCCCCGGCTCAGGAAACCAGCTGCATCCTCCAGATACAGATGCATCTCCTCATGCTCATCGTACATGGACAATTGGAACGCATGAACGTGCAGACAAACGCTCAAATTGCGATCAAGATCACTCTGCGCCAGTTTGTGCCAGCATTTACAAGCCCCCAAAAAGGCATAAACTCTTGCCAGGTTTTGCCAGTCGCCGCCAGTCGGCCAAGTTTCCACGTTTCCTCGTTTCCCAGGCCAACCTGTGCAATGCCAACACTGTGCGGGAGCCGTCGCCTGGCATCCCATCGGAACGGTGGTCGAGGAATCTCTTTTTTTTCTCAGTTTCATTCCCTGCCTGGCTTGGCTTGGCCTGGTCTGGACTCTCATTGTGGCTCTTACCACTCTGAGTTTTTTGTGGCTACGACTGTGGCTATGGATGAGTGATCGACTGCAAACCTCAAAGCACAAACAAAACTATCTGCGTTGATCTGTTTGCCAGGGCGAGCGATGGCTATAACGATGTTGGATGGTGACGGCAAGGGCGAGAGCGAGAGCGAGAGCGATTCAAGCCAGGCCAACTGACTGGCTAACTGCCTGAGTGGCCATTCGACCACTTGGTCTCTGCCAATTGTCCATGACGAACGATCCGTTTTGGCTTTTACCTGTTACATGGACACGGCATGCATGCACAGAGAGAAAAGCTTGCAAAAGGTCAAAAATAAATTAGGGGAAAAGCGGAAAAATAATTTATAATTTGCTGTGGCTTTCAACATAACTTGCATAGCAGATTATAGTATCTATAAATAAGTATTTTGAATAGTTTTAAATGAATAAAAAGACCAAAGCACACAAAGGACCTCTTCAGCATTTAAGAACTTAAATTGCTCTACAATTCCCAACTGGATCTAGCTGGTGAATACTCAAGTTAGATACTAATGAGGTTGATATATTGACCTTCGAACAGTTTTACATCTTCTCTAAAATCTCGTAAAGTCTGTTAAAATTCTTCATCTATTATAAAAATATTACAAAGTTGTTTAAAATATTATATCCTTTCATTGATTCTCTCATATATTTTCTCTCAGTGCTTGTACATATGTCTTTCTCTGGTCAATTACGTCGTCGTTTTTGTGGCCAGGATGGCCAGCAATTGTTGCTGTTGCCGTTTGTCTGAGCGTGGCAGCGACATTTTTCTTGGCCATGACCATGGTCTGCTCCGCTCCAGTGCTCCTCCTTCTACTCCTCCTCCTCCTGCACCTACTCCTCCTGCTCCTCCTCGTTTCAATGCTCCTCCGCTTGGCCACCCTCTTTTGGAATATTTGTATTTTATTGATGGCATGTTGAACAGCCTTTATGGGTTTTCGGTTTGTTCGCTGCCCCCTTTGCCTGGGCCACTCCCTCTCTATCCCCCTGGTCCCGATCCCGGCCCCGCCCACTTTACATGCAGCTGGAGGAGAGCAAAGCTGTTTTATCAGCGCACACGGAACTTTCAAATGCGCCCGAAAAGCGAAGGGGAACCAAAGGGGAACCCCACGAGCATTCCCTCCTGGACCAACGCATTGTTTTGGTCGGATTAAAGCGCCTTTGTTGCTTCCGCCTCCAATTGGCGCTTGGCAAACTTGGAGATGGAGGTGGAGGTGGAGTTGGCCAAGGAGAGGAGAACTTGAGGCGGAGACAGGGTCCGCGGAGGGCCATGAACATGTCAGCAAGGCATGTAATTACCAGACGGAGCGCCGGTCATATATATCTGCCTGCTATTGGAGGCGCTACCGGTCAGATACCATAGAGCCAAGTCCAAGGAATAAAACCTAAGCAATATGTTTGCTAGAAGGTCGTGTACTATGAGATACTTATTACTTGATTGGAAGATATTTAAGAGATATTATAATATGAGTTTTTTATGAAATGACTGTTTCTGATTTGTTAGAAGAACTTAAGAACCCAATTTAACTTAATAGTAGTTGGTAATTTGTTCTTAGTTCTGTTTAGGTTATGATCGAACTCTTTAAAGCAAAGACAGTAAATGTAACTCTTAACTTTAAGTAAATAACTTCCTTGTTCTACATTTAGCTTGGTACATATTTATAGGTAATGCTTTCATCTTATAGTTTTCTATTTACAAATATATTATACCCTTTTATCTTCAATTACTGGGTATAAATAGCCAAAGCCGCCTGCACAGCGGTGGGTCGAAACTATTTGGCCGACTAGATTCGCACAATTATGACAGGGCCCTAGACTTAGCCTACAGCCTATATACATATATATCTATATATATATATATATACAGACATTTATACAGTTCCCTGATCGCCAGTGGCTGCCGCTACGCCTGCGCGTGAAAATATTAAACTCATATTTTTATGAGGCTCCAAAGTGCGCATTAAGTCAGCATTTCTTGTGGCTTTTTTTGTTGCTGCTGCTGCTGTGGCTGCTGCTTCTGGTTTGGGGCTTGTTATTGGCCCGCCTTGAAGTCAGAGGGGGCAACGAGGAGGAGGAGGAGGAGGAGGAGGCAAGCATTTATGCTGCATTAGTGGCCCCGTCTTGGCTGCCGTTGAATTATGCACTCGGCTTAATCCATTTTTAATGAGTCCGCCGGCGTTGTGTCGTTGCAAATATTTTTGTGCAAATTAGTGGCTGTGAGGAATCACCAATTTGTCCGACGGCAGAAGCCATAAGACTGTCAATGGAACTAGTTTCGCATTTTGTAAATGCCAACTGAGGCTCTATTTAGCACAAGGAGGCAGAGGCGGAAGCGGTATCAAGTTCATGACAGGTCCTTGCTCTCACGCAGCATAAAGGGTCACGAACACAATCCCGATATAGAACTGAAGATAAACGCAACAAAAAAAGTAAAGCAGTCCAAGGACTATGAGCAAAAAAAAAAAGCACAGGGGGAGAATCAAAAACAAAGCGCGAATCAAGCACACGTGACTCGGGCTGTTCAAGATTCTGAAGGGATCATGAAGAGGTTTTGGAAAGGGTTCTACAGAGAACAAAATTATGACCAACATTTGTCAGAAGATTTAGATGGTTTTGAGGCTTGAAAAGGAGTTTGCAGAGATCTAAATTGTACACAAAGTTAGTCAAAACGTTTATAAAAACTTAAGTATCTACAAAAGGTTGTAGAGAAATTACAATTATGGTCAAAGTTTGTCAGAAGATTTAGAATATTTTAACCGTCATAAAGAGCCTCTTACAGAGACCTAAATAATAGTCACAGTTTGTTAAAAATTGTACAAATTTAAAGGATAAATGTATGGATCCTGTAGAAGGACTTTCGTTTTCTCTAAGAACAAACTCCATTAATTTGTAATATATAAAGTATAATGCTATCTAGAAGCTACATGTAATTTTATACCCTTGCAGGGTATTATAATTCAGTCAGAAGTTTGCAACGCAGTGAAGGAGGCACCTCCGACTATATAAAGTATATATATTCTTGACCAGGATCAACAGCCGAGTCGATCTAGCCATGTCCGTCTGTCCGTCTGTCCGTCTGTCCTTCTGTCCGTCTGTCCGTCTGTCCGTCTGTCCGTCTGTCCGTTTCTACGCAAACTAGTCCCTCAGTTTTAAAGCTATCTGAATGAAACTTTGTAGTTAGCCTTCCATATACTCTCACTCGTATATATGTCGGAACGGGCCGGATCGGACGACTATATCAGATAGCTGCCATAGGAATGATCGGAAAATTTTTACAAAAAAATTTTTAACTTTTTCAGTTTTCAATAGAATTGGATCAAATTTGAGATATAGCCATTCTACTATACTCTACAATTTTGCATAAAATTTTATGAAATCGGACTACTATATCATATAGCTCCCATAGGAACGATCGAGAAATTAATACAATTAAATTTATAACTTTTTCAGTTTTCAGCTGATTTTCATCAAATTTGAGGTATAGCCATTTTATATTAGTCTTAAATTTTGTGTCAAATTTCATGAAAATCGGACGACTATGTTATATAGGTGCCATACAAACGATTGTTTGATGTAGAGGAAAATGCAAATCTGCGAATGTAAAATGCAAATATAATATGTATAGGTGAATAAAATGAAAGCAGGTATTACTTCATTTTTTTTTAATACAAATAAATATAATTTATATTGTTGAGATTCCAAGTCATAGAAGTTCTATCTGCAAGGGTATATAAACTTCGGCGTGCCGAAGTTAGCTTCCTTTCTTGTTTATAGATATTTTCGGGTTTTTATTTATATTACTAACTAAAGAAAGTCTTATAAAGATATCTCGCATTCATTTTTAAATATTTCAACTTCAATTGGTTTTGTTTTTCTGGAATTCGAAATGCCAATCAGTATTCAAAATCGCTTGTTAAGTAACCCAACTTTACTGCTAATAAGTAACTCTAAATTATAGATCAATTTAAATGATTTTTCGTCTGTGTAGAAGTCTGGAACTGAAATGTGTTCTGTTAATGGCGATGATGATGATGATGAAATTGTCGGCGTTGACATGCAACAGGGCAACGTCAACCGTCAACCGGCAACCGGCTGAAGGGGCGGACCCAGCGACAAATTAAATAAAGCAGCTAAAAACAAAAGGGTTTGCGAGGAGTTGGAGATGGCTGCCTTGATTGCGTTTCAGTTTTGGAGTACGGGTACGGAGTTCAGAGGAGGAGGAGTATGTGAGTTGTACCAAGGTGCGCGGTGGCTTGACGGTCACGCTGAGCGAACGCACGTAAAAGCTATTGACTAACTGACTGACTGACTGATTGGATGACTGACTGACGGACTGAAAGACTGACTAACTGCCTGAGCGGATGCTCCCAACTGCTGACAGATCGATCGCGTATTTTGGGCCAAGTCTGGAGTTGAAGGTTTTGCTGTTGCGGTCGCCTCCCTTCCTTGCGGACCTGTTAAACGAGCCTAATTATTAGTTTTACCACCAATTTCAACGTCGACTCGAGTTTGAGCCATGTTAACAGCGTGTTCAACAAGCCAGCAACAACGCTGCAAAGCGATCGCATATCGCAAATCGACGATCACAGCGATCAGAGCGATCGACAGGCGAGGGTTTTCAAGCTCATGTCTTCGTGCTCCTCTGCGGTTGGTAAAATGTGTAATTTCTGTAAATTGATTTAATTGCTGCATTTAAGAGTGCCTCGCCAGCTGAAGCTCAGCTCAAGCTGGAGCGGGAATTTCTGTTTAACTCGAAGCTGGAGTTGCAGTTGGAGACACTCGAGTGGCAGGCAGCGAAAGCCACTTACATTTGTTTTTTACACGGCAAGGAAATTGAAATCGTTTGGAATATATTTAGGATATATCAATATATTATTCTTGGGTTGTAGTAACACAAATATATTTATTAATAGTGACTAGGGTTTCTATTTAGAAATTAAATGATTTTTACTTTGTCATAAATATACCTTTTCAGGGTATTATAACTTCAGTTACAAGCTTTCTACACCGTGAAGAAGTCATTTCCGACCCCATAAATCAATATATGTATTCTTGATCAGCATGAACAGCCGAGTCAATCTAGCCATCTCCCATAGAAAAAAATTTTTTTCAATTTTTTGAAAAAATCAAAGGGGTTACGTCATTAAAATTTTCAAAAATTTATAAAAATTTGAATTTCTTCAAATTATATATTAAGTATGATGATTTATTTATCTATTAAAAACTAGCATAAAAAAGCTTTCCGAATGAAATTTAATGCATTTTTGGCTGAGTTGTGAGTTTTTTAAACTTTGGTTCGTCGCTAAAAGTTTCATATTAAAATATAATTTAAAAATATTTTAAGCTTAGTTTCGATCAATTTCCAATGCGATCTTATAATTCAATTGTATTCTGCAAAGATAAGATACGATTTGGCTTACCGAAGTTAGTTTCCTTTTTTTTATTGATATTATCTTTGGGACCTTTACATTTCTTGGCTAATAATCAGTATTTTATTTCATAAAAAACAAGTTCTTTACATTGCTATACCCAATTTGTGTGTAATAAGAAAAGGTTCTTGGTAAAGTATTCATGTTCTTCTAGCTGTCAGATTAAAGTAGCAACACTCTTAACATTATAAATATATAACATCAAATTTCCATCCAAACATAAGCATCACTCTCTTTCATCTAAAATGTCTATAAAATAGATGTTAATGAAGTTGAAAGCCCTTAGTTTTTTCCCCTGTGTAACCATATGGCCTGGCAATTGAAGTTAACGTTGCATTCAAAGTTAACGTTTTGGAGTTGCCCACCCGTGCGCCAGTTGTTTGGCCGGGGATGTGTTTCTTTGGCTCTTTCCCTGGCTCTTTATTTATTTTTTGTTGGCCCAGACTGTGGACCAAAATCGATCGATCGCATGATTATTGCCGCAGCTGTTTGATGCTGATTGGTTTGGCAGCCGCAACTCGACAGGTTAGACAGCCGACACGTCTCGTGCAGGGGCAGAGGAGGCAGGAGGTGGGGGGATGTGGGTGAGAGTGGGCGGCAGGTGGGCGGCGCCTCCAAAATATATACATAGAGAGGGAGACAGCAGAAATTGGCAATTTGCAACTCATTGTCAAAACTCATTAATCCCATTTGCCATTTTCGACTGCAAACATTAATTTCGCCATTTAGCTCGACAACTTAACTGAAGTCAAGTTGAAGTCAAAGCTGAAGCTGAGACAGAGTCTGAGTCTGAAGTAAATGCGACTTGATTGGACACTCCAGCCAGTCACGACGGATGGCCAAGCTTCTCCATCTGCATCTCCGTAATTATGGCTAATAATACGGCTGGCGGCTGGGATTTGGCTAAAACTGACAGTACAACGCCCAAGCCCACAGCCACCTGCCATAGATATGATGTTACATGGCGAAAAATCTGTATACCTATAACTTACAAAATTTAATGTAAGTATTTAAAATAATACAGAAAGGGATACTAACAAATAGGTATTTATTTAAAGCCATATACAAATTGTTTATTAAAGTTTCAGTTGGTTTTTTGGTAAATTTCTAATAATAATAATAAAATGGAAATATTTGAATGCATTTTAAGGAGTGACATTGTTTTGAATTTCATTTTTAACATTTCAATATTATTTATTTAGGATTTTAATAACGAATCGTAATATAAATCACTACCTTTTGGATATATTTTGCTCTCAAGAAGGTCTAAAATATTCATCTTATTTAAATCAATAGCTATAAATGATCGGTTTTTTTTTAACAATTCAGTATTTCATATAACCATAACTCTGTCAAAAAGCATCAATTTCAATTCTGAAACCAGTTCTGTGCTAGTTTTTCTTAAGTTAATAAATCTATATACCAAATTGAACATTTTAAGAAATTCAATATTTTGTCAATTTTTGACATTTTTAATGATGTAACCCCTTATAAAATTTTGAAATTTTAGACAAATTTTTAAAACTTTTTCTTTTGACCGGACATTGCTAGATCAACTCTGCTGTTGATTCTGATCAAGAATATATATGATTTATGGGTCGGACATGACTCCTTCAGGGAGTAACAAGCTTTTAAGTGAAATTAGAATACCCCGTAAGGGTATTTTTAAAAATTTGACAGTGTACATTTAAGGAATTGAGCATATATTTCATAACTGCCTGAATGGTTTTATGAGGAGAAGCACATTTACCTTTTCTAATTTATATAAATATTCTAAAAACAAATAATGCTTCAGTGTGGCTTTTCACAACATACCCTTTCATTGCATGTAAAGAACCCTCGTTTTATTATGGAAAAATATAAACAAATTCTATTATTTCTTTCCGTGCCTCAGACAACTGCCAGGCATTAATCTTGGCCAGACCCGATTCGGTGCTTTTGTGTGTTCGATTGGCTGAGATCCGGAGCTAGAGCTTGGAGCTGGTGGTGGCTCGTGGCTAGGTTTCAGCTCCCTCCAATGGCAAACGAAATGGAAATGCATTTCCAGCCAACCCAAAAAGAGCCGGCGGCATTTGCTGTGCACGACTTTTCAGCCATTGCCAATCGAACGATCCAGATCAACGCCATCGATCGGCATTTGTTTCTTGTCTGTTTATTTACTTATTTATTCTGCTTATATAGCGATATTGTAGCTCCATGAGCTGTTATTTATGGTTCTGTTCGATTTGCCTTCTTGTCAGATTAGTGTCCAGCTTTACATCCGCCATGCTCTGCGGCCGGATTCCGGGCCTGACTCCGGCCAGCGTCACATGTGCGGCGAGATGCCGGAAGCCCTGATTGCCCTGGGCGAGGGCCACCAGCTGGGCGCCCAGGAGTGCCAGCAGCAATTCCGTGGCCATCGCTGGAACTGCTCCAAGGTGTGGCAGGCCAATGTCTTCGCCCATGTCATACCCACAGGTGAGTGAACATCCCAAGATCTAACTCTCGAAGGCAACGCCCTCGCATAATAATCTTAAGCAACATTAATATTATTAGACGGAGATTCTCGATTCTTTTATTTGCTGAAGCATTACTTTAGACAAATTTATTTCCCCGATCCTCTCTAGCTTCGCGTGAGGCAGCCTACACCTATGCGATAGCCAGCGCCGGAGCCGCTTATGCGGTAACTGCCGCCTGTGCCCGTGGCAACATCTCCACCTGCGGCTGTGATGTGCGGCACAAGTCTGCGCCAGCTGCTCCAGGTGGAGGAGCACCAGAAGAGCCCTGGAAATGGGGCGGTTGCTCTGCAGATGTGGACTTTGGGATGCGATATGCCCGAAGGTTCATGGATGCTCGGGAACTAGAGCGAGATGCTCGCACGCTAATGAATCTGCACAACAATCGGGCAGGGAGAACGGTGCGTATGAGTAACCTTTCGATTGCTACCTTATTTCTAAACTATATATATTTTCCAGCTGGTAAAGAAGATGCTGCGCACGGACTGCAAGTGCCATGGCGTCAGTGGGTCCTGTGTGATGAAAACCTGCTGGAAGAGCCTGCCGCCCTTTCGCCTGATCGGCGACAAGCTCATGACAAAGTATCAAAAAGCCAAAACTGTTCAAGCCGTCAAAGGCAAACGTGGACTGAGATTAGTATTAAGCAGGTGAGAAAAGCTCGAGATTGATGTGAAGAGGGACCCTTCAATATCTGAATCTTTGCAGAAAGAAGCATGCCGGTGCGGCTCGTGCCCAGAAACCGGTTCTCGACTGGCCCAAACGCATGGAGCTGGTGTATTTGGAGGCATCGCCCAATTACTGCGAACGCAGCCTTCAGATGGGAAGCCAGGGAACTGGCGGTAGGGTTTGCCAACGAAATGGCCATGGTCCCGGCAGCTGTGACCTCCTGTGCTGTGGACGTGGTCACAACACACAACACATCCGGCGGAGCAGGCAGTGTCACTGCCAGTTCCGTTGGTGCTGCGAGGTCAAGTGCGAGGAATGCGACGAGAGCTACGAGGAGTTCACCTGTAAATAGACCGAAATGGGGCCCAGGATGCCGCTATTGCTGGGGGCTATGTCATAGGAAATGCGTTACTTAAGTATTATGAGAAATGTATTACACTCACAAAAACACAAAACAACACCACCATAAAAACACACACATTCCAGAATAAAGAGTAACAAGTTAACAAACACAAACAATGTGTTTTTATTATAAAATTTATGTTATTTTCAGATGGAGATATTTCAGAGCTTATTTTGGGTAAGTATACTGGATAAGCAACACTAGGGGAGGCGATCTAGCCATGTTTATCTGCCTGTCAGACTTCTCTAAGGTTATCAGAGTAAGATATAATATATATGGCAATTGGGAATTCCTTAAATCATAATGTTTGCTGAACATCTGCAACATCGATGTTTTAACAGGATGCTGCATGTGTTGCTCTTAATATTTCTAGGCACATTTGCATTGCAACCTTTTATTGTGCACTTTGTCGTTTTAGATTTCAGTTTGTATACCCTGTCCAAAATACATTGTAGCATTATTCATCTTTATAACTACCTCAATATATAAATATTTTGAATTTTAGTTTGAATGAAATGCATTCTAAATGTACATTTAGCTAGGAAATTTCGTAAACGCTTTCTAAAATAAGGTACATAAATTAAAAGAAAATTATACAAACTGACTACTTTTTAAACATCTTTCTTATTTTTATATGAATACAATGCAGTGAAGGAATCATTTCCGACCCTATATATCATATATATTCTTGATCAAAATCAACAGCAGATTCGATCTAGCCATGTCCGGTAAAAAATAAATTTTTGAAATTTTTCAAAATTTGAAAATTTTATAAGGGGTTACATCGTTAAAATTGTCAAAAATTGGCAAAAATCTGAATTCTTTAAAATTATATATTAAGTACGCAGATTTTTTAACCTTGTAAAAACTAGCACAGAACCGTTTCCGAATTGAAATTAATGCTTTTTTCGCAGAGTTATAACATTTTTATACCCTTGCAGGGTATTATAATTTCAGTCAGAAGTTTGCAACGCAGTGAAGGAGGCACCTCCGACTATATAAAGTATATATATTCTTGATCAGGATCAACAGCCGAGTCGATCTAGCCATGTCCGTCTGTCCGTCTGTCCGTCTGTCCGTTTCTACGCAAACTAGTCTCTCAGTTTTGAAGCTATCTGAATGAAACTTTGTAGTTAGCCTTCTATATACTCTCACTCGTATATATGTCGGAACGGGCCGGATCGGACGACTATATCATATAGCTGCCATAGGAATGATCGGAAAATTTTTACAAAATAAATTTTAACTTTTCAGTTCTCTATAGAATTGGATCAAATTTGAGATATAGCCATTAAATATTATTCTACAATTTTGCGTAAAATTTTATGAAAATCGGACGACTATATCATATAGCTCCCATAGGAACGATCGAGAAATTAATTCAATTAAAAAGTATAACATTTTCAGTTTTCAACAGATTTTCATCAAATTTGAGATATAGCCGTTTCATATTATTCTACAATTTTGTGTAAAATTTATGAAAATCGGACTAATATATCATATAGCTCCCATAGGAACGATCGAGAAATTTGAGAGGAATGAGAATGGCGGTGGCTGTTGTCGGAAGACTGACAATCGCGGTGGCGATAACATTTTTAGTTTTCAACAGAATTTAATCAAATTTGAGATATAGCCATTTCATATTATTCTAAAATTTTGTGTAAAATTTTATGAAAATCAAACGACTATATCATATAGGTGCCATACAAACGATCGTTTGATGTAGAAGAAAAATACAAATCTGTGAATATAAAGCTGCAAATATAATATATATAGGTGAATGAAATAAAAGCAGGTATTACTTCATTGTTTTTAAAAACACATATATATATAATTTATATGGTATGGATTTCTAGTCATAGAATTTCTATCTGCAAGGGTATTTAAACTTCGGCGGCCGAAGTTAGCTTCCTTTCTTGTTAATCTTGGATTAATCAAAAAAGTAGTCATATAAAAATGAATATGTAAAAATAGATGTATTTACTTAATTTAAATTTCAAAACTTTATAAATAATTGTTTTGTTAATTCGGTTAGGTTTTAAACCAAACACAGTTTATAGGTTTTTAGGTGCTTACTAGAGATCTAAACTAAATCAAAAATAAGTCACTTAAATATTTAATGAAATCAATAAGAACCACAATAAACCTAGCTTCAGATTCAGATTTGATTTGAAAGATTTGAATACTAAATAGTTGCAATTTAAAAACTAAACAATTCAGCGCATTTACTTTCCATCAACCAAAACCGTAGCATACATTTCAGGGCGGTTCAAATAGTTGGCGCGCAGCATTGCCAGTTTGAAATGATAGCCTCAACCGCAACGTAAGGTGCTGCTTTCTCGGGAGCGTAACGCATTGCGCCTGGCTTCATATGTATTTTGGCATTGGAATTCCGGATTCCGGAATCCGGATCCATTAAGTTGGCCTGGCAGCTCGCAAACGAAATGCCAGCACTTGCCGAACTGCGCGAGCGCCAAAAAGAAAATTCATTGATTGCAATCGCCAGAGCACTCGCTCTCTCTCACAAGTGAGAAAAGAGGTAGAAGGAGGGGAGGGAAAAGTCCCCGGAAAACTCACCACTAGCAGCGACTATATCAGCGACTGGCTCGCACGAGCGGCGCTCAGTTCTTTGAGGGTAGTTAGTTGGACAACGGCGTTGCCGAAAACGGGCCACCTCAGCTGCCGCACAATACATTTTTGGGTTAGGAACATACACACACACACATACAAGCACACACAGATAGCGACACCAACACCCTCTCGCATTCCCACACACATTCACACACGCAAAGTATATGTATCTCGGGCCAGAGAAATGTATAAGGCCAGGCAAAAAAATCCAACTTAATTGCATTCGCAGCGGCGGCGAAAAGTGAAGAAATAAAAAACACAAGCATCGCGTGAAAATTCCATTGACTCGCTGTGATCGAAGCACATTAAATAAATAATTTGTACTAGCCACAGTGTATGTGTGTATATCGGTGTGAGTGTGTGTGCGGGTGTGCGAGTGAGCAGTGAGTGAGTGTGCGTGAGTGGCAGCAAATAGCGCTGGAGGCAGCTCCCTGGATACAGAAAAGTGATTTCCTGCAAAATGTGCTGCGAAAAAATGCTAGAAAATGTAGCCGAAAAGTGCATAAAAAAGGGTCCATTTAACCTACAGTCTTTGTGTGTGAACGGAACAGAGAGTTAACCCTTAACCCTTAACCCATAACGCTTGACGATAAATACCAGTACACACACACACACACACACATGGTGTAGCTGTCAATCAAAAAGGAGTAATCTGCCCCACTAAACGTTGCCTATCGATTGGGGCGAAAGAACGGAAAAATTATTATAAATTGCTTCAACCTACATATAAGCCATGCGAGATACGTATATGTATGTGTGTATATATACACACACAGGCACACACACACACTATGGCACACGCTTACAGCAGAGACATTAAGTTTGAAAAGCCATAAGCTGTATAACAGAGCCTAGAGCCGAGCGAATGAAGTGGCAGAAGGTGGTGCCAGGGCATTATGCTGGAGCCACCCTAGGCCACCCTTAAAGACACCCTTCCCCCTTCACCCCCCCCCCCCACCCCCCCTTTCTCGCATTACGTTGCGCCTTACGTCGTCCGTGAGCGTTGAGCGTAACTCGTGCGTAGAACGCTCTCCACTCTCCTTTCTGCACTCTGCACTCCATTTTTCGGAGCACTCTTCAAACTCCCCTATCTACTCTCTGCCTGGCGGCGCATCTGTGTGGGTGCCACAGTGTGTGTGTGTGTGTGTGTGTGTGAGTGAGTGTATGTGAGTGTGCCTCGAATGTGTGTCAGTGGCTTTTTCCTATGCTGTCGCGAGTTCGGAATATAAAAAAACCCGCCTCGTTGGGCACGAAGCCACGAAGCCAAACCACTCGAAACTCGGAGGAGTGAAAAAAAATCTGAATGAATACTTTAATTAGTTTAGAAAACAACAAAAAGCTTTTGCGGTGTCTAATTATCGTAATCCTCCTCCTCCTCCCTTTTCTCAAAAAAAACTCTCAACACAGCCATGTACATAAAAACAAAACCCGTTTAAATCATACACAAGATGCAATTAGCCAGCGACCACGACACGCCACGCCACGCCATTACCACCAAAGTCAACAAACTAACTAAAGCCTAACCAAGTGTCATCAACTGAATTAGTGCAACCAGCAGCAAGCAGCGAGCAGCGAGCGGCAAGCTAACCGGAAGCGTAAACGGAAACGGAAATGCCCATTGAGCCGCCTGACAGCAGTAGCAGCGGCAGCAGCGATAACAAATATTGCAATCAAGACGAGCAACAAATCGCCCACACACACATGTAGTTGCAGTGCGAGTTTGCCTCTGTGTGTGTGTGTGTGTGCGCGCGCGCGTGTGAGTGTGAGAGGGAGGCGCAGCAAATTGTTGCGGCTCTGTAAGCCGGAACCGGAAGTGGCAGGTTAGGATAAGGCGGCAAACGAAGGAGGAGCAGCAGCAGCAGCAGCAGGAGCAGGAGCATCCGGAGATAGATTAGCAAAATTTCATTCGCCTGCAAAACGTTAACGAAAAATCATTCAAAATTCATCGCCTAAGCAAAGCGGGTGAGCTATTTAACACACATTACGTATACGTAACACTCACACCCAGTCACAAAAACCAGACACAGACACCCATACACACACACGAAAAGAACTTCAATTTGTGATGTGAACCGTAAGCAATATTGATTTCTGATTTGTGCGTACATGTACATGTATATATCTATCTATATATATTTATAAGCCTTGTGTAACAGGAGTTGCCATAATTTAACCGTAATCAGTTATGAGTAATCTATACATTGTGCCTGCGGTAACTACTCCCAGTTCCCCTTCTCTCCTTTATGTTGTGATTTCTTTTGATACTTTTCCTTTTGAGACTCGAAATATAATTATAATTTATCGCGATTCCCTGATTGCCTTAGATCTAGTTGGAGTCATAATAATAGTTGTAGACCGAGAGTATAAACCTTAGTTTAGTCTGTAATTTTAGATATATATATATATTACCCATACGCCCCGTACGGTTCTCAATCAATCAATCAAACGGATTGGCAAGCAATTCGGAAACTCATAATTAGATATATCAGAGAAGGGGTTAGTAGATTTCTTCTTTTTGGGGCAGGCTCGAACGCACCTCGCGAATGCTCGCATGATTTGTCAGTTTTTTATATTTCCTTTTCCCAATATATATTTCTTTTATTATTTTTTATGTAGGGTGGTTTGCGTGTCAATGCTGCGGTGTTTGCCTTTATTATTTATTTCTTTCGGTTGTTATTTGAGTTGCCTGCTCTAATTTTAGATCAGTCGAATAAGTTTTATTGATTTCAAATTTTAACCTTATTTTACATGTGCCTTGTGTGTGTGTGTGTCAGTGTGCGGGTGTGTGTGTGTGTGGGTGCAAGAAAAGAAAAACGCCGCCAATCCATACATTGGGCCAGTGGTAACAACAAAATACGGCAAAATATTTTACGATGACGCTATTGTTGTGAGCAAAAAGAGTGTGTGGCACCGGAGATGCCACGCATTTGCGCATAGCCCCAACCGTGGTGAGTTCGCTCTCCGGCATTTCTCTGAGACTTTCTCCTAGGCCTTCTCTTTACGGATCCAACTCTCTTTCTCTTTTTGGTGGCGATGGCTATTCAACATGTTTGTTTTGGGGTGGAGCATGGCAGATAGTTTGATAAGATGATGGCCCCGGTCAGCATGCCGTCATCCAGCTCTGGCCCAGACTCCGGTCTCCAGCCCGGTGCCCCCTAAGTATGCAGCTCAAAGTGCAATCTATCTGGGCTTCCTCCTCTGGCCATATACATACTCTACATATATAGTATATAGAGTACATTGCCATGTTTGCCGAGCAAAGTGCAGTGCTTGGGGCTCCCTAATGGCATGGCGATGTAATCGAATCTGGGCCTGATATTTTATGGCCTGTCTGCCATATCCTGACCTCATCTGCTGGCGCTTCCTTCCCCTTTTCGTTTTTATCTGTTGTTTCCTTATATATCTATTTTTTCTTCCTTCTGTGTCACAGCCAGTAGACTCCAGCTAACGGAGTCTGCCGGCTTGTGAATGTGAATGGGCTTCCGGCTTTGCTGATTCGTTTATGCTTTCATTTGAGACGCTGCAGCTGGTGCTGGTGCCGTTGATATCCGCACTCTTGGCCCATTCAGGCAGTCAGGCACCGCCGTTCCGTAGCGACTTATCGCCATGTCGCATTGTTTATGCGGGGCGGCTTAATTGCAATTTGCTATTCATGACATTCACAGTCATATTTCAAATCCTGCCTGTTGGGGAAATGGGGAGAAGTACGTCTGTGGCAAACAAGTTCAAGTGAAACATGAATATTTAATACATTACTTCACAAAAGTTTTAATTCCATAAGGCTTTCAATTGAAGAAGAAGGTTTCACTCTCTTGGTTAAATTACTTTTTACTTAAGAAGTAAGCAAGGAAATTATGCCTTACTTAACACCAAAAATCTTGTTCACAAGTTTGTTAATATTTTCGTGAGGCAAAGTTGCCTATTTTAAAGTCAAAGTTTTGAATACATTATGAACACTTTTGCGCGCGGCATAAACTTCCACCTGCGGCTGTCTCTGAGTTCGAGGAGGAGTCTAAGGCAAAGGCAGAGTCTTAGCCAGCGACAGACTTTCTTTTCTTTGGCAACCGAGAAGTGGCAACCGCTCAAGTGGCAATTTGCATGCGATTTGTTGCCATCGTGAAGCTTGAATTTGCATAGAGCCGCCGTAATGCAATGCTCGGCGAGATGTATTCGCTTCTGTCCGTGAGTCTGTTTATGGTATTTGTTTATGCGCTTATGGGACAGCTCCTGGCTGAGATTTAGGTAAAAAGGTTAAGGATATGCAAGAGGTGGAAAGAGGATGCGGGGATGGGGAGCCAATTTAAATGCAAAGACGGAAGCGTGCCACGGGGCGTATGCGTAATGTAATATATTGTCTCTAGCCAGAGTAACTCGCAGATTGTGTACTATTTGTGTGTATGTTTTTCGTTCTCTTTTCAATTCTTTCACTTCCAGATGCCGCACAAGAGCGTGAGAGAGAAAGAGCGAGCGAAAGAGAGAGAAAGAGCGAGCGAAAGAGAGAGAAAGAGAGAGCGAGAGCGAGAGAGAGCAAGAGAGAGAGAGAGGGAGTCGCGAATAGATCAATCAATCAATCAATCAAAACCGTGCATATCAACCGAGAAGCCCGAAATCAAAGTTCAACGTTGCATTTAAACGAACCGCATCAAGCAGGACACTCTCTCTTGCCCGTATCCTTGGGTTAAGGCTCCTAAACCAAATCGGATTCGGAATCGGAATCGGAATCGGAGTTGGAGATTGCATGCCGCGGATGAGCCGCGGATTATGTCACGTGACGATTATAATCCAGTAACTAGCTCTGGTGTGCGCAGTCCGGGTCGCGTGCGGCGTCTCCAGGAATTGCCGACAGTCGATCGATCACCATCCCGGGACTACGGCGCGCCACGCGGAAGTCCTTTAGGTGAATGAATCCTTCATCCCGACAAAAATCGATCTAAATCGATCATAGTTGCTAACGGAGCTAGTCCAAAGCATAATCCGAGCACAAACGTAGTCCAATCCAGCACCCAGAATCGTTTGTGCGAGAGATCATTTGAAATTCCCAATTATTTACAATTATTTTCGATTAATTCGATCAATTGGCCATGCTTTTTCCTGATTTCGTATATCGAACTACTAACCCAAATGCTGCCCTTTGAGCAGTTGTCATTACATAAATTGTTTAAAATTCGTTGAAAATTCATTCAAAATTAGTTTCAAAATATGATTCGCAAAGAGACTCGCCCAAAATTCGCCAGTATTCATTATGCAAAATTATCGCTTCTGTTCTGAGATTTGTATATCGCTCGCTAAGCTCTCTTAACTTGTACCGCCATATAGTATAAACATTTTCATTTCTCGTACTATTTGTAGTCGACTCAACTAATGCAATTTCTAACTAAACTCTATTATTTCTGTCTAACATCACACGCATGCGCATGGTACATAAATTTGATTTCATTTCATTTTTTACTTTGATTCGATTCTCATTTATTTCATTTTCATTACTATTACTTCTTCTTCTTCGTTATTTTTTATCGTTTCCGTTTCCGTTTCGCTTCACTCATCTTGCGAATCTCTACCGCCGACTTCTATCTCACTTTTTCATTTCAATTAACCCACACAAACGACCCTCGACACTCCTTGGCCACAAACACATGCAAATTGGATTCCTTGCGGGGCGAATGGAATTCAATTGAATGGAATTGAATTGAATTGAATTGGTTGGGGAAAATCAGTACGGGACTGAGGCAGCAGCTACAGCTGCTGGAAAATTGCATTAGAGAGCAGGACACATGGACCACAGCTGAGCCAGCCGAAAGGAATACAAAACAAACCACACAGAACAGCGGAAAAGTGTGCACCTTGAACTGACACTGTGCGCGGCAGCAAAGTAACTTTGCCGGGGGCACTCAGCTTGATATCAAAGCCTCAAACTGGATTACAATTATGGTTAGCTAAACTGTTTTGCACTTGAACGGGGTCAGGGCACTTGGTTACTCCAGCTAATTAGCATTTTGGCCGCCATTGAGGGTCTGAAATAAACCATTTATGAGTCGAGCAGCGAACCACTGACGGACGATGACGGTGACGTGGATGAGGACGAGGAACCGCAAATTTAGTTTCGTGCTCTCGACGTGCAAAATGATTTCGTGCTAGGAAAACTTAGTTTATGGCCCTCGCTGGTTGAAGAGTGGGTTCAGGGCAGGTGAAATATGAGCCAGGACACACAATGTAGTTAGAGTGGGGGTGCAAGTACAAACCAAAGCCAGGACACGACAAACACTTCAACCTCGCTCCCTCGCTCCCTTGTTGCCTTGCCTGTTGACTTTTACTTTGTTTTTCCTTTTACATTTTTGTACAAGTTACCTGCGTTCCCCGCCACCCTCACCACTAACCAAAGCTAACCAAAGAAAATGAGGCAGAGACTACGCCAATGCACTAGTTTGCCACCTATAGAGACACACTCCTCTCCTGTGATCCTGTTTTCCCTGTGTTGTTTTTCAGTTTTTGGTTTTTTGTTTTTCGGTTGCCTTCCTTCTCTCTCTCTCTGTCTTCTTTTTTTTGTTTTTGGTGGCCGAATGAGGAGCCGAAAACGAAAAACACGAAACAAGCAACTGAAGCTGAACCAGAGTCAGAATCAGAATCAGAACCACCACCAGAGATAAAACCAGCAAAAACCCAGCAAAAACCCAGCAAACCCAACAAAACCCGTCCACCCGTTCCATCATCCACTCATTTCGGTCATCCTCATGAATTCTGTGTGTGTGTGAATTTCAGCAATGGGCAGTCCATACTACCGCGACATGGATGAGCCAACAAGTCCGGCCGGAGCGGGTCACCATCGCAGCCGGAGCGCCAGCAGACCACCGATGGCCCATGCCATGGATTATCCACGTAATGATTGTTTTTAAATCTTATAAATATATATCAAATATTGCAAATATAATTAATATAATATAATATAATCAAATATAGAAAAGTAAATAATAATAATTACCAAAGAACTAGATATTAAGTTTAAAATTAGTCTTTGAAAATGTTATACAATTTAATGTGACGGGATATCATTTTGCTTGAAAGGAATCTTAACGAAAGAAACCAACTTCTGTAAGCCGTAGATTTTATGCATTTGCATTTTGAAAATAATATAGGATGGAATCAGAAATCGATCCTAACTAATGTTCAAATATTCGCTTTCTTTGAATTGATATTTTTATCAGTACTTTTGTACGTAAACTTAAACTTTAAAAACTGATAACTAAGCCAAAATAGCATTAATTTCCATTCGGAAATTGTTCCTATGTTAGTTTTTATTAGCTTAATAAATCTGCATACTCAATTAAAATTTTAGGAAAATCACAATTTGCCAATTTTTGAAAATTTAATGATGTAACCCTTATCGTTTTTTGAAAAATCGAACAAATTTCAAAAATTATTTTTTAACCGGACATAGCTAGAACGATACTGCTGTTGATGCTGATCAAGAATAAATATAATTCATACGGTAGAAAATGACTCCTTCATAGCGTTACAAGCTTTCAATAAAATCAAAATACCCGATAAGGGTATAAAATATAATTATAAAATAATAACAGATAGATTAAAGAAGGACTTACCCTAAAGAAGTAATGAAGCAATCCTTGAAAGTATCTTTAAACGAAACATATTGCCGTAAGACCTGTAAATATTTATGAAAAGAATTAATAAGCAAATTAAAATGAATAATATTTTAACACATTTAGGAAAATATTAACAAAGAAAAGCAAATAAATATATCAGTTTCCTTTATACTAAAACCTTCTCTTATATCCCCTGACAGGAACCCGCTACCAATCGCTGGATCGCGGTGGACTCGTGGATCCCCACGATCGCGAGTTCATACCCATCCGGGAGCCACGTGACCGCTCCCGGGACAGATCCCTCGAACGGGGACTGTATTTAGAGGACGAACTATATGGCAGATCGGCGCGCCAGAGTCCCAGTGCCATGGGTGGCTATAATACGGGCATGGGTCCGACATCGGATCGGGCCTATTTGGGTGACCTGCAGCATCAGAATACCGATTTGCAGCGGGAGCTGGGCAACCTCAAGCGCGAACTGGAGCTGACCAATCAGAAGCTGGGCAGTTCGATGCACAGCATCAAGACCTTCTGGTCGCCGGAGCTGAAGAAGGAGCGGGCACTGCGCAAGGAGGAGAGTGCCAAGTATAGTCTGATCAATGATCAGTTGAAGTTGCTCAGCACGGAGAATCAGGTAGGATTTTGTATGCTTAATTTACATTACATTATAATCATTCTAAATGTTTTCAAATAGAAACAAGCCATGTTGGTGCGCCAGCTGGAAGAGGAGCTGCGTCTCAGGATGCGGCAGCCCAACCTGGAAATGCAGCAGCAAATGGAGGCTATATACGCGGAAAACGATCATCTGCAGCGGGAAATCAGCATCCTAAGAGAGACCATTAAGGATCTTGAGTGCCGGGTGGAGACCCAGAAGCAAACGCTGATTGCCCGCGATGAGAGCATCAAGAAGCTGCTGGAGATGCTGCAGGCCAAGGGCATGGGTGAGTCCTTAAACTTTATATATTCCAAAGTAAAGGAGAAAGTAATCTGTAACTGATTTTATTCACTTCTAGGCAAAGAGGAGGAGCGCCAGATGTTCCAGCAAATGCAGGCCATGGCCCAGAAGCAGGTAAGACCCAAACGATCAGATGCTTTGGACCCAAGACCCCCCCAACTACCCGCTGGACAAGGTCGCGGACGAGTCCCTGTCCCGCGTCCCAATCTGGCCATCTTTCTCTCTCTCTCCCCCCAGTCTTTCTCTCTCTCTCTCTCTCTCAGCCTCTTTATATATATATATATCTCTGTCAACCTATCTCTCTAATTTTCTTTCGTTCGGCAAACAATGCTCTAGAGAATGATTTCGTACACGGGCAGGCGGGGAGAGAGAGAGAGAAGATGAGAGATGGAGAAACTGGGAGACTTCTCTCCCCCCACTCTATCTCCAACTCTTTCTCTCCGCCGCCTGCCCTTTCTCTCTGACACACACACACGAAAAAGAAGAAAACACAAACACTTTTTATGCATCTTGAGTTCGAAACATTTGATGCAACATCAGAACTGTAAAAACTTTTGTTTAATTCCCACCAACACATATACACACACTAAGCCTCTATATACTATACTATATACTATACTATACACACACAGCCATATCTGTTACAATCTAGTTGAAACAAAAAAAATATATAAAACTAAAGTAGAGCCTAGAAAATGTTCGCTTTTATGGAAAAATAAAGCTCGAGCTTGTAGTTGCTAGCTAACATAGTGTTCTTTCAACACTGTTTTTTCTATGTTTTTCACTGTTGATTTTCCATTTTCCACACGCACACACACTCGCATACATATACGCAGAGCTTGACACGTTTCATTCAGTTTGCTACATGTTTTGCATATTTTTTAAATGTTTTGTTCTTGTTTGCCGTTTGTGTCGCTTAATTAATTTGCAACTTTTGTGCCGACAACGAGATGAGAATGGGGACGCCAGTCAACATCAATGAACGTCGTTCAAATTAACATTAAGTGCAGTACAGAAAGACACACATACATACACACACACACAGACACAGACACATCCACCCATTCACACACACTCACTCACACTCAGACAGCAGCTTAGTCATTTCATTGTTCGCCGCCCAATAAAGTCTCGATTCTGTTGCACACTTTTCGGCGCCATAATGGATGCATCTTCGGTGCCCCACTTATGCAGCAAGTAATGCATTGCCCCTGCCAGGGAAAAGTGCATTTCCTTACCCGCCCTCCTCCCTCTCCTCCTCCCTGCCCTGCCCTGCTGCATTCATTGTTGCATTTCATTATTTATCGACATAGTGCTTTACCCTACCCATTCCCCGGGGGAAATCAATTTGAAATGGTTTTTGGAGTTTGCTGCAAAACTGCATTTAGTCTTTGGTCTTTAGACCAAGTTTTAAGCCAGCTACAGCTACAGCGACAGCGACCTCCCCAAGGACGTAACAAACAACCAACTGCTTATTACTGATCCCAACTCGTTCCCCTTTCCCCCCTCTCTAATTACATGTTTGCCCCTTGGCTAAACTCCCACACACAAGCACACATGGCGTATGCGTAATATTAAGAGCAAACAGAACAAAAGGCAGAAGGCAGGAGGCAAACAACAACAAAAATATATATAAAAATAGGGAAGAGGAAAATATACGGTAGGAAATGGCATTTTCCGAGACAAAGACAGAGACAGAGACAGTTGGGGAATATTCCCAGTGGGCAGCATAAATAACCTTGATACAGAAACAGAAAATCTATTTAAGGACAACAGACCAAGCGGAGACCAATGGGAATATAACCATCAGAGCTAAGGGAAAATCTAGCTATTATCGCATCGAGATGCTCTTTAATGGCATATCATTGCTATATAGAAATACTCATAAATTGTAGGGTCACAGGAACTGACAGCATATTGGAGTGGAGTATATTTCACACATTTTGTATTATATGCATTCGCATTGTGACAACTCAAGTGCTAAGGCCACTTATCCTTGACTGAATTTCAAACTTCATACTTTATCTCGTTGGTTCCCTGTGGCGTTAAAGCCATTTGCATAAGCTTAACATCCTTTTTTTTCGGCCATTCGGCCACCAATTCTATGGAATGACTCTGCACAATGGCTATTCAGTTGCCGCTTTTTTCGAGCTCTTTTCTTGGCTCAGTGCCGAATGGTATTTTTTCTCTTCGGGGGAATCACATTTTATTTTTCTGCGTAAAACGTAAGCCAGCGGGCGATAGGTTCTTTATTATATTATACCAATTGAAAAGGAAATGACAACAAGAACTGCCTTCACCAGCGATTGGTAAGGCTCGAAATTAATTTGTCACTGATAAAAAAGAAACAGACAAGTGTATGGGGGAAATGCGGCATAGTTACATGGCCCGGACAGCAGTAATTAAAAAGCAACCCACAAAACCCCAACCGAATCAAAGGCAAAATAAAAAAAACGCCCACACAATTGGAGGCTCACATAAAATACAAAAAAAAAACAAAAGAAGGAAAACAAAAATTTCGCCTCGTCGGTTGAGCAATTAAAAGTTGTTGCGTATACGCCGCGTTAACAACGGCCGGAAAAGGGAGCAATCGAGGCGGCGCAATGGCGCAGTTCTTTCGAGGTCACTGCGTTTTACATTTCCTATTTTTTCCTATTTCGGTGCTCAGTGTAGATTCTATTTATTGCAAAACTGCAGTTGCCAGCCTACTACATAGAGAGAAAAACAAAACTTTCTATAATTCAAAGTGTTTAGAACCAAGTTTGGGACCCAGCATCCATCGACTTTTTCCCCCTGTAAGCTCCAACTTTTGGCACTCTTACATAAGGCGAGTGGCACACGCATGTATCTCCAGCTTGGAATATATCTTTTACGAGAGTCCCCTCTTGCTTTTATTGTCTACTTCTTATGGCCATTTAACTGACGCCACTTTGTCTGCTCGAAGCTCTAACTTTCGGCTTACAATCAGCCCCTTCCAAACAAAAAAAAAAACCAGAAAAGGCACACACAGAACATATACAAATATGTAGCTATATATATAAATAATGTGTACAAATCTAACAAACTTATGCGATGCTCAACCTTCTCACTTCTGGTGAACCCAACAACATGGAAAACAACACCAACAACAAACAACAACAACGAGGCAGCTTGATTTGGAGCGTGAAATCAAGAAATACGCTCAGGAGGAGCAGGGGGTCAGGGTGAGTGTGTGTACAAAAAGAAAAAGAAAACAACAACAATCGCAACAACAAAAAAAATACTCAGAGCTAAAGACCTTCTTAGGGCCAATCCACCCCGTCTTAACCCCCGACTGCCGGTGGTGACCAGGGCTTAGTATGCTACTCAGTATGCCAGACCACACAAATCCATATTCAAATATTCATGTTGTTTGGCTCGACTCCTCTTTAGGCGCCCTCCCTTTTCTCACCCTTTTCTCTCTCTTTCTCCCTCTCTCTGTCTGTCCTTCTCTATCTCTCTGTAACGCCCTGGCAAATTAGAAACTATGCAAAACGATGCCAATGGCTGAATTTTAATTAGCAGCCTAAGCCAAAGGGCCAAAAGGGGTAAGTGGCGGGATCTAGATGTATTACGGGGATTGGCACATGCCAAAGAGACAGGAGCGGACTTAAGTGCTCTGAGGGGGGCTTAAAATAGAAGTATTTGATTGGAAAATAACCAGAAATTCCTAGGAATATAAGGGAACATAGTAACGGAACCTAGAATTAGGAAAAAGTGGATTCTGTCTGTAAATTTAAAGTGGAAAATGATATCTAAGTATTATAGATATTAAACCCAAGGAAAATTTGAATCAATTGCCAAGTTTTTCATTGAGGAATGTGAATTATTCGGAATTCCAAAAACCTTACTTCAGAATTGAGATTAAATCTGGAGTTCCCTAATTCCTACTTAAACCTTAAGTTAAGCACAGAAACTATGGCTAATTTCATGGAAAATGCATTGAACTATTATCAAAAACCATTACAGATCAAAACATGCAAAATTTAAGCAAAAACTCACATATATAACTTTCGACATACGACCAAAATATAGCACTACATAGTAAATTACCTTCTTATATTGACCCAAAAAAGAAGCTGGCATTCCATATAAATCACAATACATTTGGCCAAATGGAGTAATCAACCCCAAGAATAAAGCACCCAAAAAATTGGGTTAAATCGTAAATTTAAAAATGCAAAAATTGTGAGCTGACCAGACCGATATAAAATACTGTGCACTCCCTGAAGCTATATTAAATTTTCCAACCATCCAACAACCGATTGCGGCAGGCAGGCATTGCCTCACTCGCAGGTCACTAAATAAGGCTCACACGACACCCTCGCACATAAAGTTAAACCGATGCCAGAGCCAGCCCTGCGTCCTATGCATACGCATAAATAATAATGGGCATGGAGCACGGAAGATGGGGGTGCAGCTGGTAGCAGGGAGTAGATCCTGGTAGCAGGGAGCTGAGTCCTGGTAGCCGGTAACTCGGAACTGTGAGCTCGTTATGGCTGCCAGTGTGGGCCTTGCTCAACGCTTGATATATTATGCTTCTCTGCTGGCAGGACAGGGCAGCTCATTGTTTTGCGGGGGAAGAAGCAGCGCATAAAATAATTACGCGGCCTACCGCAAAATTCATTTTACCAGCTCACAGGAACGCAGGAGAAAAAAGACGCAGAACCGCACAGGCAAAACTCCTACTCGGCCAAGTTCCGCAATGTGATGCATTTTATGCATTTAAAGAGGGACTTCGATTTATCGATTTTGAAGCTTGGAGCGTAATTGCTTGTCGAAAAACAAATGACTGCCTGATGAGTTGCCCACTTAGCATAATAATTGAATGGAAGCTGGCTAAATATGCAAAGTGTTGCCTACTTTTGCGGGCCAGTTTATAGGGAAAGCATTAAGGAGGAGGCAGAAGGCAGGCAGGCAGGCAGGAGCAGCAGCAGCAGGACCCCCCGCAAAGTCAGCTGCTCGAGAAGTGCAGGCCATGTCATGCGCAGGCCATCAGTTGCATGTGGCATGTGGCATGTGGCTGTTTCAACCGTTAGCAGCCACTGCAGGGTTAAGGTTTCAGCGAGTAACTTGTAAAACGAGTTCGTTCTTTC